CGTGAGGATTTTTGAGCTTGGTGACCTCCCCAGCCCGGGAAGACTCGTCGGGCTCCCGGTCGCNCAAGTCCTGGTAGCGAGCTCTCTGAGATGCTCGGTTCGTTCGGTCGGCAGGAAGAGCCCCCCAGTTGCGACTTCGTTTATGTTAGGAGACCAACGGGCATAGATCCCGTCTAGTTGGAGCGCCAAACAAGCGCTGTTGCGTGCCGGCCGTCGTTTCCCGTGCGGCCTGACCCGGGGGCGGAGTGCATGAGACTAACCAGCCGTATGCACCCGCCCCCCGCGCTGTGCTTCGGCCCGGGGCCCCCGGCTTTTCAGCCCACAGTGTAATCAACGTCATACATACATACATACATACATACATACATACATACATACATACATACATACATACATACATACATACATACATACATACATACATACATACATACATACATACATACATACATACATACATACACACATACATACATACACACATCGACATTGACATCCACATCCACATCTCCACACACATTCCTACCCTCCGGAAGTTCCACCAACAGATGAGCCCGGCACAAAGCACGATGCAGATGGCCTGCGGCTTGGGCCAGCTCTGGAAGTCGTTGGCCACAATGACGTAGGCGGCTTTTGCGGCGAGGATCTGCAGCCGCGCCACGGCCACTGGCGAAGCCAGGTAGGCTCGAGAAACCGGATTGAGGTCAGAGGAGGCGACCACCATTAGAGCTGTCACACCGAAGAACACGGCAGCGGTAAACAACGCCACCGTCATGTGGGCGATGTGGGGCATAGCCAGGCAGTCTGCGTGCGGATAGAGCGGGGAGGAATATGGGAGGGCGGAAGGGTGGGTGGCACATGCAGTGCGGGTTGTGATGACGGGAGAATGTACGGCAGCAAGAGGTGCAATGCAGGGGATACAGTTAGGGGTCGGTTATATAGCTGCAGTGTGCTTTGCAGCAGGCTCGCATGCTATCCTAGCAGAGAGATAGAGTTGAGAGAGGTTTGCATTCTCGTCGGCGCTGGCAGTTGGTTGGCAGCGGCCAGGCGGCAGCTATCAGCGCCCGGCCAAGCAGGTGGTCACCGTAGCTACTGTGTACTCACTAACACTGCTCCCAAAGTAGACGTGGTTCTTCTCCTTCTTCGTGAAGTTGCAATTGGCGGCAAAGACGAAGTAGTCGAAGAAAGACACCTGCGACGTGTGTGTGTGTGGTTGTTACGGTGGGTGCCGCATTTGTGTGGCATTGGGTGCCGCATGTGTGTGCGAGGGGGGGTGGGTGGGTGGGTGGGTGGGTGTTGTCGTGTCATCATGTCTGCAAGTGCGTATGTGGGTCCAGCCCTTGGCTCTGGGGCTCCGGGTGGAGAGCAGGACCCCGGGTGCCTCCGAATGTTCGGCTGCCTACGACGCGGGCCCCTTCACACCCTGTCTTCATGTATGGACTCACGTATAGCATGATGAACATGACTGGACCAGTTCGATGAAATTCATCAGTAGTCCCATCCATCCATCCATCCGTCGATGCATCCGTACATTAACAACCGTTGCCCGTTCATTCATTCATCCATCGTTGCAGAGGAGATAGGAAGCCGTCAATCGCCAGCCGCAGGTCCGTCCAAGCATTCAGCAGCCGACGGTGCGCAGCCAACCAGCACGCAGTGTATGTAGCGTTCGGAGGATTTGCAATTTCAGAGGATGGACAACGGGGTGATGAAGAGGCGGGAACGCAGAAGCATAGACATTGGCATGCATCCATTGTTGCGTTTTCGGCTGTGTTGCTGGCCGCTAGAAGCAAGGAGAGCTTGCGAGGGAGTTACGCGTGGGGAGAGGAACTGCAAGTTTCGCGAGTTACACGTCTTTAAGGACAAAAAGCATGCTCTCTTCGACTCTCCGGCATACAGCTCGTGCAGGCCGTCTGTTAGTTTTCAGGCGTGGCGATCAGACTGTGAAGGAAGTGATGGTCGCAGAAGACCAGCTGTAGCTGGCAAATCTTGCTTACAAAGTATCTGGCTTAATCGTGTCTCTAATAGCAGACACACTGCCATGGCATAAGTCCCATCTTTTGTTTGGGTAGTGTAATAGCAGTTTTCTTTCGTGCCTTTCCTGGCAGCTGCATTTTCTGTCAGCCCTTATGCCCTTGGGCCAACGAGCCCATACAGCCGCTGCACTCTTGAAAGGGTAAAGCAACCCCAGATGGCGCTGTGACTTGGTTGGATGCTGGTGGTGAGTTGCTGAACCCAACGTATACATTCCGAAGTCGGATGGGGTGAACGGATTAGGGTGCCCCTCTAGCAGGGGAGAGCAGGGAACTGCCTCGGGAAAGGGGGCCGCTGGTGAAGCTCACCACCCTGTAACAACATACATACATGCTGTGCGTGTTGTGACACTAAGGAATGCAAGGGCCGTACCGTCGTATACGATGTGCAGTACAATAGACGCAATGCGAAGCCATTTAGACTGTTCCTGCCGCCGCATAGCCACCGTTAGCCCCACCAGGCCAAGTACGGCCATGATTACGATAGCCACCATGACGTACATGACGATAATGTACGTTTTGTAGCCGTACAAGCGTACGATAGGTGAACGCCATACCGCCCATCGCACCAGCTGCCAAACTGCGGATTAGGGATAAGTTGAGGAGAGACATCATGTGGCTGGCTGGACTCGCGGTCTGCAAACCTCCCCATGCGGGTATCGTAGCCCAATTCAGGACTGTACATGCTGGGTAACGGAAGGGGAAGTAAGCAAGGGGTATCGCCCAGCCCACCGCATGCACATGCATCAGCAAGCGGTCACGGCTTCGGTGCCCTCCATACCTTCCTACTGCGGTTCATAGCCGTCAATCTGTTACACGTATTGTCACCTATGGATGGACACGTTGTCGTAACATGTCGTACATGTACGGCCACGTATCCGTTAATAAGTGGCCAAACCTTAGCCCATAGGGCACTGGGCAGGACCATTTAGTGGTGCTTTGAGTACAATTAATAGCACTCATACCCTCTGTAACGCCCGGCAGTAGAGACCCAGGCGCCCTGCAAACACGAGGCTGCGGATCTAAAACCCTAAGACGTCCCCTTCTCATCTACAATACCACCAATCAGCAGCAGCGCGATGGGTACATGACCAGGTAAACGCCTCACAGCCGCACACACGCACACATGGACCAGGAGGTACCTGGATTATTGACGTCGATGTTCCAAGCTGTGATGGAGGGGTTGAACACCACGATGAAGCCCATCTGCAAGAGAGGACAAAGACCCGCAGGGCAGGGAGCGCAAAACAGCAGCAACGAACAGGTGCAATCTCGTCATCAGCTGCTTTACCTACCATAGCCAGCGGTGTTGATTGGGTAGCGATGGCGGCAGCTAAGGAGCATTCGATTGTGGTTAGCTGCTGGAAAATGTGGGCTCTAATCCCTGGTCAGCGGAGGGCAGCCAAGGCCATCTATAGATAGAGACACACATCGGTCTGCTTAGTAGCCTGCATGCGGTAAACCGGTCGGGCTGAAGCTGTCCGACAGGAGAACTAATCTTTCTCAGTCAGGTACAGAATAAGCACGATTAACGACATTGTGACGTCTCACAGCATTAGATGGCCGGCAAGTAACGACCGAGCCAGCAAGCGGGAGGTGCGTAGACAGACAGCAGCAGGCAGGATGGCCAAGATGAGTGCAGGTAGTTGTAATTCAAATGTACGGTTAGGTTAATAGGATGTACGGTTAGGTTAATAGGTAGGATTGCAGCCAAGGCCTGCTGGCCACTGCCACTATGCCATCGGGCGCCCCGGCCCGTGTCGGCCTGCTGGGTACATCTGGCTTGGAGGGCGGGGCTCGAATTGTCCCGTTTGGTGCTGTGAACCAACCCTCCTAGTTGCAAATCAGCCAAAGGCAGATGAATGGCGCGTGGAGACTCGTCCGTCCGCACAGCCACGTGACATCATGAGCAGCCTGTCTTGACACCCATGAAATTCGCACGATGCGGCACGGGCGGTTTAGGTTTCCCCAGCAGTAATAGCAGAACTGGTGGTAGGTGCTTATAGTCTCCGCGTGCTGCCAGCGGCCGCGGCAGGGCAGACGGGCAGATGAACCAATTTGCACGTCCATGCAAAGCACGTACCAGGCCCTCCAGCACCACCTTGAGCACCGCAAACTTCCATCCGCTGAGGGCCGCCTGACGAACCAGGGTATACATACCTGCATGGGACATACGGTATACACCCGCATCACATCGGCGTGGTGGGGACTCTCTACCTCTCAACCTGTCATCTTGCATATTAGGGGGAAGCATCGCCTATGCGCTCGTGCATGCGGATGTGTATGCGTATGTGTGTATGTGTGGCATGCGTTTGTGTGTATCTGTGTATCTGTGTGTTGCATGTGTATGTATGTATGTATATGTGCTGTGTGTGTCTTGGTGTGTGTGCTGTGTGTTTGTGTGTGCGGATGTGTGTATGTCTGCCTGTACGTATTTCGTTTCATCCTCTAATACCACTTGGCATCTCCACGTGGCGGACATCTCACATGAGAAGATGCCATCCTGTATTGAGCGCTTCTGCTCCAGAAGGTCGCCCTCCTCACGCTCCGCAGCGGTGGTCCTGAATGCGTGGCCAAGTGGGTTGGGCGGGTGGCGGTCGGAGTGATGGTGAGGTGGTATGGCAGGCAGCGGACAGGACGCAAGGACGCGGGTGGCATACATTGGGAATGGCCGGGAGTGAAGGACCCCTCCGAGAGCAGGCAGGAGCAGGCCATGTGGGTCGGCCATGGTGGGGAAAGAGAAGCAGCCGGGTAAGAGAGGTGGATTGGGGCCCTTCCTCTATCACGGCTACGGCGGGGTCGGCGTGTTTAGATGTAGGAGTTTTATGTGGCTTGCTCCATGACGGAGCTGACCCTGGGGCCGTGGCACCTGGTCTGCAGGCGCAATAACACAGGCAGGTATGTGTCGCCAGGCAGGTTTGCACGCGAACTGTACGACCTGTTTGATTGGCCCGTTCCCATCCAAGGTAGGGTTTAACGGACGGTAACCAAGTTTTTGGAAGCATGGTTACACCTGCATGCTTGCGTGTTTTGCGTGGATAAGCGGCCAAGGAACAGCCAGCAGCAGCAGGTGCGTACATCTGGCGCATTCGGCTCAAGTGCGCCAAGCGAGCAAGAATGCGGCGGTACGCTCAGCGATATGAATTGAATTTACAAGGTTCCATTTAAGCGATTTTCAAGATATTGTTTGCTGCTTAATTTGTCTTGTCAGTCCCGGGAACGACAAGCATTGAATGCACGACTGCAATTATGCTTGTCAACGCAACCCAACTTCTTGCCCGAGATATATGGTTGACCTTGCATGGGAGGGTAAGATGTCCTTTATTGTAATCTTTCGCTCACGGCTCTGCCCAGTGAGAAACCATACGGCTGTACCTTTCACGCCTGAGGAACTTCGAGTCGCTGCGCTGTGAACTTGTCTCGCTTTGCCCAAGTCCACTCGCAGTCCCGGACGTGCCGGACGCGCCAGAGCGTTGCGACGAGGCGTCATCGGCGTCTAGGTAACGAGACGACATTTGCCTGAGTTGTTATGTCTCAACAACTCCATACGCCTCTCTTACGTACTACACAAAAATAAAATGAATGATGCGTGCGCTACCAAACTCTTCAGCCTCGCACTTGCGTGCTTGCAGACCTGGAGCAGTATCTGGGAAATAACCTTGTATTAAATGTATTCATTATTTTCTCCAAAAAAACATCAAGCAATCTACTGCCTGTCTGTGTTGCCGTCGTGCATGAGACAACGGTTGACAAAGGCTAGTACTACTTTACTTTGCAGTGTCGAATCTGTATATGCTCCCTGATCTCTTGTACCACAAGGAAACTTCCCTTAGTCTTTGTTTTGAAATTGGTCTGACCTTCCTGTTCGCTCACCCAGGCAGACCATGACAATATCCCCGGAACAGTTTTAGCTTGCAGTACGCGTCCTAATTAACATGTGAAAAACGCCTGATATGATACGAGGCATAGAGTGTGTGATGGAATGGAGCTGAGTTGGCGTGGTGCTGTAAGCCGAGAGGGCAGTTATCCTCATAACTGTGAGCTCATAGAATGATAGTAACAGAGATCTATTGCAGGTAGACTTGCTGAGGGTTGCGGCTCCGTTTCTGTGTCTGGTTGGTCCGGACTTCACGAGCGACAGTAAAAGAAAGGAGCGTAATGCGGCGGTTTACACGCTGATCGAGGTTAACGTATGTACTAGCTATCCTGACAAATTGAAAAAATATGCAAACATTCACAACGTGAAATTGTTAGACCAGCGGCTTAGGGCCGCTTCTAAGTGTTTTCCACGGTGGGTGGCGTTCACTTAACATGTTTGCATTTTAATTGTCATAATCCATCATGTGCGTGGCTTGGCAATCTTCTCCATGCCGCCCCTTTCGGATCCCACGGTTAAGAACAAGGCCTACGCAGGCTACAACTTGAAGCACCTTGAAGGGTACTTCCAACTTACGGACGCTTCACGCTAGCTTGCGTAGTGATCTGCGACGGAGTACTCAACAACAAGCCACGTACACAATTCCACGCATTGAGGGCAGCGCCAATTCTTCCCTCCAATAATGAGTCTGACGCGTGCCTAGCCTATAAACCAGAAGCATGTCAGGATCTGACGCATATGCTTATTTCCTGAAATTCAAGGTAAGGGAGCTTATAGCTGTATGCAGGCAAATCCATGCTGTGGATTCGGAACGATCGTTCTCTATCGCGGGCTAGCTGGCTAGGCAACCGCATAGTTTGGGCCATGAGACAAGTTAGACGCCAAATTTTGCGGGTGACGACAGGCAATAGAGGGCAAGCTCCATGTTCGGCTTGAGCTGGCTTGAGCGGCCCGTGTACGCGTACACAATCTTTGGAACAGGAGACTATATATATCAGTGGTCCAATTGCGGTATCTTAACGAGTAAACAGATATTTTGCTTGCAAATTTGCTTTTTACCCTCTCTTTGAGGAGTCCTTTATGGCTCATGAGCCTCTTGGCTTATTTGCGCCGTACAACTTGTAAAGCTCGTAACACCAAAAAAAACGTCCACAAAGTCAAGTGGCACCCAGCGATAATCCGCACCTGACTCATCTTGAGCTCTCAAGTTGAGCACAAAGACACAACATCCAGGTTTGCACACCCGTGCCCGGAAAGGTTTCACTATGCGACATGGCAAGTAACCCCAGCTTAGGCCATAACGAGCTGCAAACGCACACGCATGGCGAACAGCCATACACGGACAGGGCCGCGTACGGAACCTGCGAACGAGTTCGCGCACTACACACTGTTTCATCCCAGCGCTGTCGCCTACGCGTCCCCATCACGTAGACGCTACAGTGGCACTGCCGCTGCTAATCAAGCTGGCTCCGCTGCCGCTAACAACACCGCAGCTCGCGCACCGCACGCTCAGCACGAACTCCCCCGCATCGCCATTAAAGCCAGACACGACAATATAGTAGGTGACGCCGGCCAGGATGTCCTTGTCGATACGGCTGGCGGCACCACAGGCGGGATCGTCATCGTTGGCCAGCGTGCTCTCCAGCTGCATATCGTCTCGCTGACCCAGCAGTAGCACCGTGTCGTATGCGGAGCCGCAGGTGGAGACGGTGATCGTCTGAGCGAAAGGTGCCGTGTACGCATATGCAACATCAGGTGACACGTCCTGTAGGGGCAATGCGCCGTGCCGTGGCGTAGCGGGTCAGGCGGGGTGAAGACAGAATTTTCTGAATAAAACTTCAAATGTTTCTGGGTGATGCACCAAATGAAGCATGCATGAGTTGAAGGAGTTGAATCCTTGCCTCTTGTATGTGTGCACATGTGGGTGTGCATGGCATGCAGCCCTTGCGCAACAGGAACGGCGCCAGGCGCCTTGCTTGTGTGGGTGCAGTGTACCGGGCACCAATGTAAAGGGAACGCCAGAGGGAATGGGTGCCTGCTCCTCCTCTCGTTCTGCGTCTCACCAACGAGTTTCCAGGCGAGGTGGTGTAGTCGTGGCGGAAGAGGATGGTGTTGCCCGAGTCGTTGAAGGGTAGGGCACGAATGAGCCGCGGGACAGCCGTGGTTTCGCCCACCTGCTCCCTTGTGTCGTTTACCTTCAAGACCTGCGCTGCGAAATCGAACCGCGGGTCGGTGCTCCTGCAGACGGCACAGTAAAGAGTTTATTTATTCCACCCTTACTTAGGCCACGGTGGAGAGCACGGAGGACGATACATGATGTATTGCTCCTCATGCCTGTCATATAAATACTTCGGACAGGTTTTGACCATTAATCCGTACCTCTTGAAGGTGAATTATGCAGCATCAAGTATGCACAGTAAGTTCATACCTGTCCTCTGTGACAGGATGCATTCGTTTGTATAGAAATCCATTCATTTCTCCATTCATTCATTCATTCATTTACCCATTCGTGTCGTATTAACCCATTCGTGTCGTAGCTCCGCACACCTCATGGAAAGCTGCACATAATAGGCGCCCTGCGCTGTCGCGGCGTTGGGCTGTAGCAGCAGTCGCTGGCTCTGGTTGTAGTTGGAGAGCGTGAAGGTAAGGCTGGACGGGAAAACGTTGGCAAGTGGCTCACCATTCCAGGCCAACGGCGCGCTTGCCGTCATGTTCACCTGCCGTAACCACGGCAGTTCGGGACCGCGCGTGAAGGCATCGGTGGTTTTTAGGAGGGACAATTGCTTCACGTCAAAATGTATAACGAGTGGACGTGCAGGCGCGGAGCGGGGACGTGCTGCAAGCCTCAAACGAAGAGACAACATTGGGTTATCAAACGGCCATCCAGGATCACGTACGCTGCTGGAGGAATGCTGAGGTCTAGATTCTTGTCGTTAGGGTTAGGGCAGCGGCAGGGGTCTTAGGGTTTTGCACAGGTAGCGGCAGGGGTCTTAGGGTTTTGCATAGGTAGCGGCAGGGGGTCTTGCACAGGTTCAATTGTATTACATACAGTCGTGCATGCAGGTCACGTGCTTCAGCAGCGGGCAGCCGCTCAAGCGGCCGCACCTGGCCTGTTGGCTGCAACTGCAGCGATACCTCAATGTCCACGTTCCCGATGGCGGTACTGCCTGGAAGGGGCTCGCTGAGCGGCGCCACGATCACAATGCCAGGCGATACACGCACCTGCGTGCAGGCATGCCGAGATGCGCACAACCTTCGTTACCCACGTCATTAACCACGTCATATAACGGCGGTTACATGCCTGTATTTTTGATACAGGCGAGCATGAAGCCAAGAAGCCTCAGTGCCCCGGTGAGTTCTTGGGTATAGAGCCGCTGACGTGAACGCAAAAATGTGTGATGGTTCGTTCCGTGATCGCCGTACGCACCGGTACGATCAGAACGGACTGGAGCAGGCGGTTGGGAGTGGAGCTGATATCGAGGGGGGCCCAGGCGGAGGTACTGGGCGACGGTGTGAAGGTGTCGCTGCCCAACCGGTCATCCGTCACAACACCAGCCAGGGACGACCGCAGCAGCCGTTGAGCCACGTCCGCAGGGCTGGCGCCCTGCGCCATTCATACGTACATGCACACATACAGGGACGGCGGTTGGTGCATTGTGTGTCACTAATCATTATGGCTAACGACGGTTGATGGCTAACGGATGCCCGCGACAGGATGACATGTGAAAGTGAGCGTTTGTAGCTCGATAAAACCCTAAGTCATCATGTGGGCGGTGTTACAGCTACACAAATTTACGTAACAAGACTTAGTCATACGGCTCCATATCATTACGGTGGAAGATTTGGCTCCCTGCTGGAGATAACGAATGGCTCAGAATCCACAGTGTCGTTCTGTTCTCAGAAGTTTAGGTTTCACTTCCCGTCGGACCGAGAGGTCCCGTGTGAGTGCCTGCTGCTGCAGAACCCCCGTCCGTCTTTGCTCAACGACCCAACCTCCCGCAGATCTCTGACCGCCCGCGGCCCCCATGCATCTCCTTGACCCATGCATTTGCTGGTGTGTCCTTAGTCCCCAACCACACGCCAACATGGCGCATGACGTTAAGCGAGTCCCTCCACAAACCCCCCAGCCCACGTAGCACATACCGGATGGTTGTCGAGGTAAAGTGCCGCCACTCCGGTAACGAACGGGGCTGCCATGGACGTCCCCGTCTTGGGTGCCTCCGACGCGTCCGTCCACGGTACGGCGCTAATGACGTTGACGCCCGGCGCGAAGAGGTCCAAGCAGGGGCCCCTGTTTCATCCGCCGTTTGTTCCAGGCCAGGTAAGAAGTTTTATTCGTTTGGCGAGATGCATGGGCGCCGGGCGGCGGTCTTGTAGCCATGTGACCTTTGTGGCGAGAGGGTCCCACACCAAACTTATTTACCCAAGCTCTGCTCAACCCATCGTACACACACGTGCTGCTACCTCCTCGTATTACCATCGGTCGGGCAGTCACCCGCGTCCCAAGTGCGTGAAGTGGCACTCACCAGTTTGACTTGTACCAGCGGCGCCCGTCCGTGTCTATGGCACCCACCGCTATGGCGGACTGGGCGGAGGCGGGCGACACGTTGCAAGCGTCCACGTTGCCGTTGCCCGCGCTCGCCACTACCACTACTCCCATCCTGCCATCAGGATGGGCCATTGCGCCACGCGAAAGGGTGGGGTGCGTGATAAGAGCTGAGCTTCGTGGGCTACCGTGCGCTCCGACGCGGTCATAAAGACGCTTTACATGCGTTTGATTTATGGGCGCATTGTGCGTTACGTACGGTGTTTGTATTACACGAAGTTCTCGGAGAGGGAATGGACGGCTGGGAGGAGGGTGGGTTGGGTGTGTGTACGTGTGTATATTCGTGTGATGCTTAGACATGGCGCATGCGCGCCCGACAGCCCGCATTCCGATGAACCGGGAAATATCGCAGCCCCATCGAACCTTTGCCCTGGTTCCGTCAGGACTTCAACAACATATCTAACGTTCCTGTTCAATGGCGCCATGACACCTGCCACCCGAAATCTGCCAATGCAACCCGCGTACGGGCCGTGCCCCGCTGCCCCCCGGGCTCCCTGGCCTCATCACCCCACCCCCACGGCGCCTACCTCCGCACCAGGGCATCAATCGCGGCGTTTACGGGACTGCTGTAGTAGCCCTCCAGCGACATGTGCACCACAGCGGGGTACTCAAGGTTGCGTGCCACCCATTCCAAGCCCTGGAGGCGAAAGCAGCCGGAGGAAACCGGAGAAGCCAAGGCAGCAGCGGGTGGCAGCATAATAAAGGCAGACAAAACAAAAGCAGCAGTAAAAGAAGTGAGATGCGAAGCCGTTGACCGATGAGACCCCCTGAGCGCTGCGCCAACGTGGCATCCTAATGACCGCGGCGCGGGGTGCAGAGCCTTGCAAAAGGTTGCAGCGGATAATCATTTGCAAGCTTGGAGATGATATCCTAATTGAGTAGGTTGCAGGAGAGTTGCCGGGCACACACGGCACCGTTCCCTTTTTCATGGGCCAGTTTGCAGGCAGAACTTGAAGGAACCGTATGCGCCTGGCATTGAAGAGTCACGCCGTGAGCGGTATGTATGATGTGTGAAACAGGGGGGTATGTCTTCACCCGTGGCAGCTACCCTGCGAAACCCTGCCTTCCCCGGTATTTCGGGGCACCCTCATCCTGTCACCCTAGTCAACCTCTCAGTGGATCGCTTAGGTTCCGCACCCACCACCAGCATCCAACGGAATCTGCCGGGTCGACAGCGGCCCAACTCCATTCCTGGTCGGCTCGTGGGTCAACTTTATGTCAGGTCACCACCATCCATCAACTAGGGGCGCAATACCTTCCACCATCGGAAGGTTTTTTGACCCTGACAGGTCTCGATCCCGGGATTTCCCGGGGGCAATGGTCGCGCGTTACCTGTAGTGCCAAACCCTAGTATATATAAAAGAAACGTCCTGCAAGCTGCAGCAACCCAGCTTGAGAGTTTGTTGCCAAACTTACCTGTAATAGGGATGTTTCGTTGGCATTTCCGTAGCAGTCCAGAACCTGCGGCACAGCGGGTATGTGTCCAGACAGCACACCATGCAAAGTGCTTAGAAACACGATTGATGAAGTCGAAATCTACTGAGACGTGATTCCAAAGGATATGGCTGATGCAATTGATTCGCGATGTTATTGATCTCGGAACAATGACCACTCAGGTAAGCACCTGACCCAGATCTCTGGCCACCATCTATCCCCTAGAACATCCACGGAGGCAGTCCAAGCCAGGCAAAAGGTCAAAAGGCAGCCAAAGTCAGGTACAAGACAATAAATAACCTTTGCCAAACTCAGGTCTAGTTTGGAAAGCACGGCCTGAGCGCCAACGAGATAGAAGCCTGCTGCAGTCGACGCCCTCTTACGCAGTGCTGCTGATGCTGCTGCTCGCTCTCTAGCTCCTATCCAATCTCCCCAATCTCCCCAGCCCTTATCTTTTGCATTGTCGAGCTTCCATAAGCTTTCTTCCTTGTTCCTTCCCTTCCTTCTAGTTTCTGCATCTGTTATCCCTCTCGCCGGTGCAAAACGTCCAGGGGGAACCCATAACCTTTCCATCCCCGCCACCGCAACACACGAATACGTTAGACTGAAGCGTATTATGACTAGTATCCCTCTCGCCTCCCACCTTGACAGGATGCAGAGTCACGTTCTTGGCGACCCCGTTGTCCAGTCCCCCGATGATGGCCGCCACGTGGGTGCCGTGGCCGAAGCAGTCCTCGGTGGGGAGGGAGTCACCCACTGCCGCGAAGCCGCTCGTGACGCGGGTGCCGTTGAGAGCGTTGATGGTCCTGTCTGCAGCACATATAGCGGGAAGATCACGAAGCACAGGCGTGGAATGAATTTGCCAGTAAGGAAACCCAAATCGGACTCACCAGAACCCAGAACTGATGACCTGGGAAAATACTATTTTCCAGCTAGTAGCTGCACGCGGCGAACCGCATCCAAAAATGTGATGGCTGTGGTGATTTGGGTTATGGTGGTAGTGCTAGTCTAGGTGGTAGTGCAGTGTTGTGCGCACGGTGTGTGGTATATTATGTTTGACTTGCCTTGTTGTTCAGCCGACGCAGGGCCCATTATTCGAAATTGCACGTGGGACGCCCGAATGCCGGAATCGAGCACGTACACGTGGACTCCCGTGCCTGCGACGGGGAGCCGACGGCAGCAGGGGCCCAGCCATGCAAAGCGCTTTCCACCGTCTTTACCTAGAGAACTTGCACCATGATGCAAGTGAAAAGCAAAAGATGCACTGAGTACGGCTCTAAAAAATCGACACACGATGGCTCAAAGTGTGTTGGTCAAACCAGGGTTGGGAGCTGTATTCGAAGGGCTAAATTCGAAATCTCAAGCTTTAACCTCTTAGGAGGATTGTTTACATCACGACGCAAACCTCGCAGCTCACCCACGCTGTCGTAGTGATAAACGCTATCCAGGGGCAGGCTGCTCTGGTCAATTCGATCCAAGCCCCAGGTGACCGGGTCCAGCTGCTCGGGCAAGCGCCTGGCAGTTGACCGGGCCGTGCTGTTGCTGGTACCCTGTTGCTGGTCGGCCTCTTCACAAGCAGTCAAGAGCTGATCACCGATCTACGACTTGAAACGACGTACAGTGACCCAGATCAACTCCAAAACGTCGAAAAGTGCGGGTTGCAATACGCGGGTAACAAAACGTACCGAGAATCCACGGTCACGTGTCGCGTGGTCGACGGACTCCTTGTACAACTGCTGCACATCACGAATGGCTGCTCGACTAAACCTCCCTGGATGAACCAACATCGCGGTTACATAAGCCCTGCTTAAGAGCCAGAACGAAAGCGATTTGCTGATTGAAGATCGGATGTACCTGAGATTCCACGGATGAGCGTCCGAAACGTGTCTGTGCAGCTATATCTGTGCTGCTTCCGAAGCAAGTTACTTTCAGCGCAAAGCGTCGCTGTGAAGGCATCTGGGTCAACGTTGGATTTCAGCACCAAAATCCAGTTTTCATTTGGGGCTGTGGCATCAGCTGGTTGAGATGGGCTAGGGCTGCTGCGTAGCAGGGCTCAAAAGGCGTTCAGTGCACGGAGGACGCAGCTCAAGGACTTGGTTTTTTTTCCTAAAATGCGTACCTGAGCGCTGTTAGCGCCAATAGCATGGATGCCAAGCAGGCGGAGCCAAGGGAGAACCCCTGGGCGGGGCATCTTGACGCGCCCATGGCGGAATATGTTGCTTGGCGCCCTAACCTACTCTGTATATCCAATATCCATATAGCTTTATCTCAAATGCCACCGATCACGGATTTTTTACTCACTTGGGTGTATCGCTCTAACGACAGATAGAAGTGCAGGCTACTACTACTGCCGGGTTAAAATAAATAGGATTGTAATGGAGATTATTTTTTAAAAAATTATCTTGAAGCTCCTTCCGTGTCTTTGTTACGTCTGCAGGAGCCGCGACGTTTAAGATACGACTTCATGACTAAGCAATCCGATAGTCATAAGCTTCGCCCTGGTGTCAAGCGCGACTCAGGCCTCGTGACCTGGCATTCCCATGGCCTCGATACAACCTCTAGTCTGCACATCTTTAAGAAGTGTACTTAAGGGATGGCCCCGCAGATGTGGCGCACCCATGCACCGCGGACCTCCGCACTAATGGTTCGCCAATTCCTTGTCCGCTTCCGCGATGTTTGCGTTCACCGCACATCTTTAGCAGGTTTCTCAACCACAGAACTTGGAACTGAAAGGTCACGATCAAGATGCAGAAGCCCAATCTGAATTGCCCAAGAGGCCCGGGTTACGCGGAGAAATCTAGACTGCCAACTGAACTGTCATCATCAGCAGCGCCGCCCGCTGTTACATCCGTTATACTGTCCGATAGGGGATTCGTTTGCGTGAGGCTACAAGGGCCTGTGGGCGGAGGATGGGATGTAATTGGGATGCACAGTGCGCATTGAGAAGCTGCCGTGTCCTTCTTCTCCCGCTAAAGCGGTACAGCTTAGAACGCTTTTCAGGACCTCACGCGCAGTCTGCAAGAGGGCTTCCTGCGCAAATCGCTACGCATTTTTGGCCTGGGCAGCTAACGTGGCGCAGGCAGAACGCTGACGCTTTTGGTGAGGATTTGCATCGCCTGGCTTGAGGGCTTGCATCTGCGCACGGCTTTGGATTGCTGCGTCACGTCGCTATTATGTGTCAACACGAACGTCCGGCGCACGGCCCTGTAAAAACAAGGCGCAGATCTACACAGTTCCATTTGGGTTGTAGAGCGCCGAGCACGTCCGAGCATCCCAGCCCTATGACTTTCCGTCTGCTGTCAGTCGTGCACATGGATCCATGACATCCTGTAGACGCTGCTATACAACGTCGGCAAGAAACTCTGTCCGTTCATGGCCTCTGCTGTAGGCGCGACCCCGAGTCCGCGTAACATACCAGCATCCGGCATCCACCCCACCGCCATTTACACAATCACCGCAAATCCCATCCCCATGGCTAATACTAGATCCTCATTAAAGCGTTATAAGTCACCGTTTCACACATTAAATGTTTCCCCGCAAGGGGCAATTCCTTGGCGCACCACCATCACGTCAAGGTCCGAATCCAGTACCTTCTATCAAAGCACAGCCCGGGTGTCATACCCGCAGCTCACTTCCCAGCGTGGCCGAACAAATTGGAGAACAGGTTGGCGGCGAACGGCGGCGGAATGAAGTCTACCGGTGCCATGAACGCCACCAGTTTTTCCTATTGTGAGGAACAGGAAAACGAAGACAAGGCGTTGAGCAGCGATGTGTGCGAGGAGGCGGTAACGAGACAGGACGAACCTGCGGCGCATGCCGTTGGGCAGCAGGCTATCGCACCGCATGTGCTGCGCAATCACGTCGGTCAACAGTACAGTGCAGCGTGCGTCTCCAGCAGAACCCATACAGCAGCTGCGTAACCTACATCTACACAACCTGCACTCCCGGCCCGTAACAGCAAGGCGGAAAGTATAGTTGCTCGGCATCTGCCACGTCCAAGGCCAAGCCGCACGCCAAGCTATCAGCAACGCGCCAAACTAGCTGTCCATAGGGCTACACAACGCCGTGTGGTACAAGACCGCACCTGTACGTGGTATCGCAGTTTTCGCCCCTTGCTGGCTCGCCGATCCACCAGCTTCCGTTTCTTGGCGGCCTTCGGTGCAGCCGCGGCGCCTGAAACGTCAAGAGGAGGACGGTTGGCAAAAGATGGCACGTTAACATGTCCGGTGAGTAACGGTGGGCTGGGACGGCGTTTGGGGCCAGTTTGGTAGCTGCTCGGAGGCAGCTGAGGCCAGATAACCGGCTCGGACTAAAGCCGGGTGCAGGTACAGGTGCGCTGGCGCTAGCACTATGCAAGTGGCGCCGGTGCGACATGGACCCATATCACAACGAAACAACCAACCGTACTAATGCAGCCGGCGTAGATAAGCGGCCCTAGCCCTAACTTCTCGCTCCTTGGCTTCTTTATCCACGCCCTTCACTCCAGCTTTGCTTATACGGAAGTACATACAAAAATGCACGCAGGAGTCGGTGAGCATGCGGGCAGACGCACCTTCCGCCAGCCCCTTGTCCAAAAACTCCTTCAGTAGCTGCTGGTAAAACTCGCTGTCGTCGTACGTCTCCGGATCCCGCTCCTCCTCCGTCAGATCCACGGCCACGCTGGAGGTAGGCGCAGCCGTTCCTGCGGTGCCGTCGCGGCCCCCAACTGAAAGGCCGTCAGCATCGCCGCCTAAGGGGTCCAAGCCGACAGCTGTGCTGGCGCGCGGTGGCTCACACAATACACGCGGGCAGGCAGATAGCGCTAGCCGTGTGCGCTTGATGAACTTGGCTGCAGACATAAAACGGGCATGAAGGAGGTTGAGAATACATGCAGAATACGACACAACAACACCAGCCAGCAGCTGCAGCATCGGCCCATTAGAGAACGCGACGCTGGCTTTCCAGCGACGGCATATGTGTGTGCTACACCTTAAGAGTTCCGTTATCCTCCAAAGGTGTAATGGGCCCATACGAGCTCGGACCCCAAGGGACTGCATATGGCCAGACGAGTTGAAGTACAGACAGGCAGGCTTGCCTCTCCTGCATTCGCGCCAAACAAGATTTCCAGTGGGGCCTTGGGAGTCTAAAAGGAGCCAGTGAGCACGATGTGTGACGATGGTGGCTGGGCAATGCAGGACTGCAGGCACCCATCCTCCACAGCGTTGCCCGCCAGGGCCGCCCAATTCAAGCTTCTCCTAGAGCACTACTGCCTCCGGGCAGACCGTATTACCACCACAACAACACCAGTACTACTACGACCATCCTCACCAGGGTCTCTCATGAGTGCCTGCACTTGGCTGCTAATACTCTGGTTTAGCGCCCGGAGGCCGCTGTTCCGGAGGGCACCGCTACCAGACGACAGTACCGTGCGCCGGTGCCAAGAATCAAGCGACGCGTCCCGGAAGGGCGCCAGCGCCTCGTGTCGTGCGCTGACCCGCTGCCACAGCGATTCAAGATCACTGTCGTCAAGGTCATTGTTGTTAACGCCGGCAGCGACTTCGGCAGCGCCATCGGTGTCTGGACGGCGGCGCTTCGCGAGGCGACCGGAGGCCGTGGCCGCTTCAGCGCCAGCGGAAGGCATCAGCGTGACGGCTGGGATTCGTGCCATAAGCGTGTGCTGCAGCTCCAGCAGCTGGTTCAACGTGTCCCGTGCAGCAGCTGCAAGTTGCGAGTATCTAATAGATCATTGGACGTAGGGTAGAGCATTAGAAGTAGGTTAGAGAATTCGAGTTGGAAATGGGGGTAGGGGCATGAAAATCAGACGTAATGACGAAGCAAATGAGATTGGGTTGTATGGCACGCTGGCTGCCAGGATGGAAGGCGCGAAAGCGGCGAATTAGGACAAGGACACTGCGCGGCGCAACACACATGTCGCCTGTCCATACGCATGACCGTAAGACCTACGACCCGCTCCCGTGGTCTCGCGTACAGTGCAAGACGTCGCTGCGCTTGCTGTTGAAATATTTCTCATGCATTTCAGCACAACCGCGTTATGCATCAAACTCACCCTTCGCGCACTTCAGGCTCCACTGCCACAAGGGCGGCGTAAGTCTCGGGCCGCGGCAGGCCGTTGCTCGCCTGGAGGCACTTTTGGAGCAGGATCCGCTGCTCCAGAGTCCGCTCATACAGCACCTGCAGATGGCGCGGACGACGGTTAATGCATATGCCGCGTTCAATACCAGCTCAATTGGACACGACCAGCATGGGGGACAAGAGGTACAAGGACGTTCTGCGCCCGGCGTGCTGCACATGAAGCTCGCGGCAAGATGGGTGAATCGTTGAGCGCATGCCTCAACGCTGCCACCACCCACATTGAGGAGGGCATGCCTGTGACGGTCCATAGGCGTCTAAGTCCTCTACATATTGCCTTCGTGGAAGCTCAGCAGTCCAATGCATAGACCCAATACGGCGGGATGCTGGTGGCACCGGTATCGTCGCTCTCTCCTTTTCATGTTGACCTATCCCGCGAATGAATCCCTGCGTTACTCCTCCTTTGCCCCACCAAATATCATTTACACTTGCTCCATTATCCGGACCCTTTTCACATCATAAGCCCCGCACAAGTCCCCGAACCTGCTGGTTGCGGACTGCCGCGCCCTTCACCCGGTCGCGCTCGCCCTTATGCCGCAGCGCCTCAAGCTGCTTATCGTCCTCCTCCTGCAACGCCTCGTATTCCGCCTCCAGAGCCTCAAACTCATCCCCAGCCCCTCTGCTGCTCCCCTTGCTGCTTGTGCGTGCACGCTGCCCCTCACGTTCGTCCCTCCAATCCACTGCTCCTGCGCGGTCCCGTACACGCCTATTCGGCATCTCCCGGTCTTCTTCCGCGCCTTCCCCGACGAAAGCTTCATCTTCTTCCTCCTCCTCCTCTTGTTCCCCTTCTTCCCCTTCGGAGCTTTCCACCGTTCCGTTCGAAAAGGCCGTCGTGCGCTTGGCGGCTGCGGATTTGCCGGTAATGGCACATGAGGACAAAGGGAACAGGGAGGGAAGTCCGGACCAAGGCAGTGCCAAAACCCACTGACCCAGGAAAGAGCCGCGTCACCTGGCAACGACCGCGTAGGGACGTGGCACTGATACCAGCATCAAGCTGGGGATCATACAATCTCTTTCGCGGCAGGTGCACCAAGCAGTGTCAACACTAGGTCAGCGGCGGCCCGTAGCACTACGAAACCCTAAACCCCGTCAAGAAGCACCCGTCATCGTCGGGTTTCATCAACGTGCGGTGCGCCCCCGCCGCGCCATGCTATCTGCTCCAAGGCATGTGCATGTAGATTCCTAATAAGTTCCGATGCCCCACCGCCCATTGCATAGTAAAGCACCTGCTGCTGCTCTCGCTGCTGTCCCGCCACGACCTCTGGGGCCGGCTCTGCCTGCCGCCGCTTGGCGCTCCCCGCCGTCGTCCCCCTCCTCGTCGTCATCATCATCGTCATCGATTACGTCTTCCTCGCCATCAGTATCTAGATCCATCTCCTCGTCCTCCCCTTCGTCGAGATTTATGTCCTCGTCTGTTACAGCGCACGGGGTAACACGCAGCGCAGTCCCTCACGTTAATGGCCGTCTACTTTTAACAACTCGCTTTTGCGGGCAACACGTTTATATTTTATTGGGACACAGCTGACTAGGCTAGGCATCCTAGGCGGCCTGGTGCCACCACCTTAGGCAGCCAACTGTGTCGTCTTGCACGCCGCCTAATCGAGGAGTGGGCATAATTTTTTTATAAATAACGGCCTTGTGATCTAAGAGTACACTGTTCATGGTTAGAGGCCAAGAGGCTCCTGCAGACATGGCATGAGTTCGTTCGGAACTCATACGCCGAAGGAGCAATACATGTGTTCGTTACCTCACGACTCCGCTAGTGGGATTCAGCTGGACTGCTTGTAGGTCCTGGCTGGGATGCATCCTATGGCCCAACTTTGTATCCTGCGCTCACCATCGTCGGCACCCTCCGACTCCGCGTCCGCGCCGAAAATGGTCGCCCGAGACGTTTTACGGCCCCGGTAAGCAGAGTCCTCGAGCACGATGTCACCGCGCAGCAGCATCGCCTTTTCAGGTGCGCGCCTGAGGTCCCCAGCGACGCCGGAGGCGGCACATGCAAGTCGCGTTAACAAGGTGCGGCCAGGACTCATGGTCTCAAGCGAATTTTCGGCAAGGTGTCGGTGTGTTGCCAAGAGTTGTAGTGTTGCGTTGAGCTTGGAGCCCCGATACACAGGCCGGGTGGGCCGTCCAGCCCTATTCCGGAACAGGGTGGCACATGTGGGCCAGAAGACACACAGCAACCCGTTCGCCTCGTTTGCCTGCTCCGCGCGCCCGGCAGCCCATCCAAAGCCCTCCAAGTTCAATCCCCTCCAAGTTTTGTGATGTACGTCGGCACGCAGGTGCTCTTGAGCACATGCCGTCGGTACACGCCGGCCTTCCGACCCACGACGGCACGAGGCAGCCATCTGGCTAACAAAGCTACGTGTTATCCTAAAAATTCATGAGCCGTCTTGCTAGCAAGGGCAACGCGTCAGGTAGCGCCGCCAAGCTTCGCTAGGGGCTTCCCAAGGCTTCCCTTAGCGTAAAGATATAGGATGATTCTCCATACGTGAACATCATAGCACGAGCGACAATAACCCACTTCGAGGGCACCGCTTGCGCATCTCCATATTCGTCGTCCGAATCGAGCTTTGCGCCGTCACCAAGGTCCAACGCGTCCGGGTCATAATCTTTTAAGGAACATAGATTACATCTCTTCGTGAGGACATTGCAGCTTTTTGCAGGAATAGGGCTACAAGGACTTACCTTTTGACGGCGCCGGATTGAAAAGGTCTGCAAGCTCCTGTGCCAAGGATTTCCTTTTGCTTGCCATTATGAAGCTACCACGCAGGTTATACACTTGCCTCCCTTAGGTTCGAGACTCTAGGTCTTGTCCACGAAGTATTCTTCATATGATTATGTAACACCAATCATTCTAAAATGTTTAGAAGCTAAGCAGAATCACAATAACTGCTATTGAAAATGCCGGCTCCAGCCGAACAAGAACTTACCAGGGATATTACTAATACATGTACGGTATGGCAATTCCTAGAGCATGCAACTTGAGCACGAGACAGCTAGATTTAGATTACCACCAGTTGGTTATGAGCATGTTCGCTTGCCTAGGCCCTTGAAACGTACCAACGTTATCGCGACCTACAGCGTCCACATGCGAAAGGCATTGAAAGGCATTCTTTGGGATGGAGCAAGGAGGTTGTGGCTGGCGGAGGTTTTGATGGCCGTCAAAGTTGATTTTAAATTCATGCGCATACAGAAGCTACGAGCACACTGTGACGTAAATACCTTGTGATTATAAGAGTGACATGACCATGCAATTGTGGGAAAGCGCAGCAGACTGTTCCCAACAACTGAAGGAAGCGACATGCACCTTGCCGAATCAGCAGTAAGGTAGTGCCCTAAAAGTACCAGCCAACACTCGTTCCTTCCACCCCGCCGTAAACGTCAATCGTCGCATTGGATCGATGCAGGCATACTGGTAGTTGCCCCAAACCTCCCTAGGGTCGCCCGTGTCAAATGCCTGTTTCGGCACATGCTAACGACGCGCTGTTTGCCACCGGGTTTCGTACGTCGTCACTGCGCCTCGTGAGCTAAGCATACAACAACGCGTCTAGTATAAACATCTTACCTGTCCCATCGAATCTCAATTGCAGTTGCTGTACCTACACACACACAAAACGATGACGTCCCTACAAGCCCAGGGACACAAGGCTAGCACATCACCGACCTGCTCTGCCCACCCAAAGCCCAAGAGAGATGCAACCTCTCCCATCACCGTCAACGAAAGCACCCGACATCCGACAACTACTCACACATGCGTTAATAAAAGGTCCCCCTATCAGTACGCTGTTAACACGAATGATTTGTGCAGGCATGCTAGTACCTTGCGTAGGTATCAAAGACTGATTGGGTCTGAGTACAGAGGTCATGTTTACGACCAGGAAACAACTACGGTGCTCGCCCCCGATCACCCGGTCCGCCTAAGGGGAGCGGGGACAGCGCGCCCCGAGACACACATGGGTTGATCCATTTTAACTCGCTTGGCTTTTTTGTCATTGGCCCATCTTGCACATCAGCGCCTGCACAGCCAAGACAACGGCTTATCCAAAGCCTCACGGCATTGCCACTTGCTGAAGCCACGAACCGCCACGCGCCGGATGCTGTGAGCAATTGGGACAGCTTCAAAAGTCTAGCAGTCTAGAGTGGCTGTCCTTATCGACGCAGCTAAGACGCAGCTCAGAAGGTCGTCCGTCTAGAAGTCATCATCGCTCCAGAGCGCGTCGTTGCCATCGTCCTCGTCCACATCCAGCTCCGCCAGGTTTACCTACGGACGGCATGCTCCAGGACGTTAGGGACTACGTATTTCATCAGCAAACACAACCTTCATATTACGCATCCACAACCATTGTGTTGACAGCTGTTTACACCACCCACGTACATCCAAATGTCCCAGGGCACTTACCTGGTACCGAAGGATGCCACCAATGCCACCGAAGCCACGGCAGAATTGCGAACCCTCTTGCGATTTGTTTGTCACAAATTCGAGCGTGCACCCGAACTTCTTGTAGTTGTTTGCTAGCCACTCCAGCAGAGGCAATTTGTCTTGCACCTCCAGGTCACAGCCCGCCTCCTTGTCCTTAAAGTGCGAAGTGTCCTTGGCCTGCACGGCAGCAAAGCGATGCAGGAACAGGGTTAAGCTCAGGTCGACCATGATGCCGACGGCCGCCAACCGCCACGTCAGGGACGTCCTTCTCTTTGACCGGTATCCAGCAGTGCTACAGAACAACAGGATAACACACCTGTTCCGCGTTCAGCAGCTTAATTTCTGTTTTCCCCGAGGAAGGGTTCAGAAGCTCATAGCGGTCGCAGTCCAAGTTCTCCCACACGATCAGGGTCTCCACGGCGCCCATCTCCAAGCACTGCATCGTGTCCTTCACCGAGAACACGAACTTGCCTGTGAGCAGGATGTGCAGCGGTTCGACCATAATTAGCTCAGATGAGCGGAGGCTTCCAAAAGTCCAAAGCGAAGGTGAAGACAATCGCAAATAGAGCAGTTGCCTGATAAGGTGCCGCTGCGAGCCAGGGTACCTGGCCATGTAATTGTCAATTGTTACGCGACCGCACGAATGGCGAGCGTATCAACATGTATCTATACACTTAATAGATGTCTGCTATTAATTCTTTTTACTGGAATGAACGAAACCATCACATCCTCTAGGAACGCCGGCGTCTCGCAAACGTCAGCTATTCAAGGTAGGGCTTGAGTCGCGAAAAGCTCTATCCTGCCCCAAGTGCAGTTGCAGTTCCAAGGGACCTTCCAAGTAGACAACTCATCGCCCTTCCATGCAACATCAGACGGGTGGCAGCAACAAGTCCCGATAATTCAGTCTATCAAGACTGAACACCACAGTTCAGCACCATCGTTTAGCTGCCTACCGGAGTCCTGACTGATCTCCTCAAAGAAACGCCCAATTAGCCGCTTCTCCTGCACGAACTTCACGTTCGCAAGCATTTCCGAAGACAGCTCAATCGCCTGGTTGAAGCCATTTTCCCCACCTGCGATGCAACCGATTCGCGTACGTAATGGCAACCAGTCAGCCACACTGCCTCTGTCATCTGTTAGTCATAAGGATTCGTGCTAGACTGTCCGTCACCAGCTTACTAAACCATCAGCATTGCAAGATGCAAGAAATTAAAACAGCGCAACCGGGGGGCCGCTTAAAGCTTTGCCCCAGACACTCCGTAACGGAACAGTGTCAGCCATGTAGATATAGAGGATGGTGTGTGTGGCTGCACGTCAACCAAAATGGTCGAGCCGTGTGTAACTAAGCGTGCGTTATGTCGAGCTGGAGCCATTCAATCTCTTGCCACGTGAAGGCAGGAAACTGGTAAACCATCTAATACCGTTCCACAAGATGTAGCGATTGGTATATAGGGCGTCCCGACAATTAAGGTAATCGGGCCGTGTGCGACCAAGCGTGCTTTTTCTAGGGCTGGAGCCATTTGATCTCTTGTCACATGGAGACAGGAAATTGGTAATCCGCCCTATATACGTTGCAGAATGCTAGGATTTACATTTACATGTAACGGTTGGTGTGTGTTGCGGCCCGTCAACCAATATGGCCGGGCCGTGTGCGACCAAACGTACGTTATCTAGGGCTGGAGCCATTTGATCTCTTGTCACATGAAGACAGGAAATTGGTAATCCGCCCTATATACGTTGCAGATTGCTAGGATTTACATTTACATGTAACGGTTGGTGTGTGTTGCGGCCCGTCAACCAATATGGCCGGGCCGTGTGCGACCAAACGTACGTTATCTAGGGCTGGAGCCATTTGATCTCTTGTCACATGAAGACAGGAAATTGGTAATCCGCCCTACATCAGATGCTTTCCTTGCGCACTACGTTTTAAGCTTCACTAGATATCTCCTGCAGGTCGACCAAGCGACGTAACCATTTGTGCACCCAGGTTGGTGTTTTAGAACGATGTCACTTACTCCATGACACGCACAGTTCATATGGTGCAGTAAAACCGAATGAAGCAAAGCCCATCCATGCCGGAAATCCATCCCATGACCCACCGTACGACACGTCCACCACGCCTAGCACAACCGCCTGCAGGCGCGGGTCGAACATGTCCGACTGGCTGAGCTCCGTCTTGAAGTCTGCCGAGCCGGCCAGCACCAGACCCGCCACGTTTGGCCGATCATTAGTGATAAAAAACTGGACAGCCAACTCAGCCACCTGCACGAATCCACGCAACGACGTTAGAAACGCCTATTTCAAAACGAGGTGCGACACCAGCGGCAAGATGGATGCCGTCCCAGTCGAGACACCCTTACACTTCGTGGAATATGCTTCCCATGTACATGCTTAAAAGTGCTACCCTGGAGACGGCACTGAGCACCAGCCAATACCCATTGCAGACTCGGACCCGCTTAATTTTAAAACCGATATTACCCTTCATGCAGCTGGATAACAATCACGGGTCTGGTGCGAACCCCGTTTTTAGTGGAAGGACGGCCATAACACAGCAGCGGCCTTGCCGTCATGTTCGCACCTTGCGCACGTAGTTGTGGCGCTTTTCCACACGCAGACGAGCGAAACGCAGCGCCGATTGACCACCACGTCCGTGCTTTTTGGGCAGATCTACCAGAAATTTATGCAGGACCTCACGTGTATTGCCACATAGCGTGCCGAACAAGCTGCCGTTACCATCCATGATGATAAAGCCATACCTGAGGCAAGAAGTAACCAACAAGTGTCTAAACGCAACGAACGTATAACACCTCAGGACTACCCCGCCTATCCCCACTCACTTAGCCTCTACCCCTCATGCACAGTAAGCACGCCCGTTATAGGATGTTGGGCCAATTCTTCCAGTCCCAAACGACTCACTTGTTGTCCGACTCCAGGAGTTCGTTAAGCGCCTCGGTGTGGAACTTGTTGTCGCATAGGTACAGAGACGTGTTGATGGGTTTGAAAGGCTCAAAGTCAATGTTGACCTTCTTCTCCTTTCCGTCATCCGTCATAATTGTGCCCGTGTAGACTACCAGACCGTTAGGAGGCACCTGAGCACGGGAATAGCCGCCTACTAGCCTCAGCTAAAACACATCCGCTACAAGGGCGACATTTCATTTGGTTAGAGGTTGGCTCCTGACCTTGCTATACAACTTCAGGCGCTGCTGTGCGGAGGTAATTGCAGAAAGCACAGACAGGCGGTTGACGCGCGACTTGATGTTTGATGCCGTGCCATATTCATCTCCAAGCATTTTTTGAACACGAGCGACCTGTGTGCAGCAAGTGGACGGGTCAGCGGTGAAGTGCTCAGGAGTCTGACGCTAGCTGCGCGTACCTGATCTTTGGGGGGCATAATAAGGCTGATCATGCTCGTTCCATTTCCACGCGCAGCTTCAAGGGCCTTGATGAGCTACGTTGCGCAGAAGGCGTCGGGTGTCAATAACACTGTTGAAGCGAGAGAAAGCGCCGCCAGAGGCGCTCCGACGCCCGAGCCGCTTTGGACTCACCCGCTTGATTTTCCACATCTCAATGTTCTTATCTGTCTCCGCGTCACCCATTTTGGCTGAGCTCTAAACCCGCTGCCGACTGTTTGAAAAGCAGCCTAGGGCCTAGAGCACCGTTAAGGTGCCAAAGAAGAAATGTAAGCTGTACTTAAGCAACTAGTCAGTATATTTTGAAAAGAGAGAGTAAGCAATAATGCGGGCAACTAAGTATTCGGTTGTCCTTTTGAGTGCTCGGCCATACTGCATGAGGGCTGCATGCAGATACGTAACTTTTCCCAAAACAGGCATATTCTGTATGCATCTTCCATATGTTACATTTCCACCTTCTAAGAAATTACTCCGAACTTGCCACCGAAGTTGGGGCTTGGCCTAGCCGCCTAGCCAATGCAATAGAGTCGTCCGTCATTGGCATCGCGGTCTTCAGCGCTGCAGCTGCTTAGCAACAAGTTATGCTGCCCCATCCACTTCTGGGACGCGCAGCGCCACCTGCGGGGAAGTGCCTGGCGGGATGGCTCGGTGCTCTGTCACACACACGGGCGCCGCGTCAACCAAGGTCTTCATCTGCGACAACACGTGAGCGAATGGTGTACGCGACAAGTGGATAGCCAAACGTTGTATTTTTTGGGTACGGGGACTGGGGTTACAGAAGCCCCGTCGTGTCGGACCCGGCCGTACCAGGGGTGTCGTCACGCTTGGCATGCTTAGGTGGTTTCAACAAAACGCACGCCTTTGGAGTCGCAAAGGGTATTCACTGAAAACAAAACGAATAATTCAATATTGAGCCCACTTCGGTGACACCCTGGAACGGACCTGAACGGACGGTGCTTACCGGATAGAGCTTACTAAGCTTACATGGGCTGATTTATAAAACAAGCCAAATATCAGATATGCGCATAGTTCAACGCGGCCCACATGGGCTGAATACAGCAGCCATGCAAAGCCTCTTTGCACCCTTTAACATACCCGTAAACAGGCCCGCATGGCCAGGCAGCGGACGGCCGCCGTACGTCACCATGGACGCATGCTACCTCCGAAGACGCCGCGGCGGCGACCTCAGGCGCGGGAGTGCCGTCGACCTCTTACGGTTCGATGGCCGCCGCCGACGGTCCTTGGACACCTGAATTCATACGGGAGAGGGTACGACAGCATGAGGCGGAGGAGGAGCGCACCGTGGCAGATCAGCTGACACAGCCATTCCGGGAGGACCCTGAGGTGGGTGGTATGCATGCTTGTCTGCTGCTGTGATTAGAGGATGAGAGACGGAACCCACGGAAGCCCTGCCCTCATGGGGAACGGAGGCAATGAAGCAGTCCGGCTGTTGTCAGCAAAGACGGCTTCCCGGTTATGGCGGCTGTCCAGCATCGCAGCTGCGTAAACTCTCCTAGCCAGGGGCGGTGGTGGAGGCCCCACAGGGAAACCCCTTGCCTGCTTTTCCTGAACTGCGCGAGCAGCTTTACCTGGTATACTGGTTGCCAGTCTCAGCAGCCGCCTACCAGTGAAAACCTTCGGTGCGTCACAGCCTCTGAGATAGCTGAGGGATGGGAATCACCGCAGCAGCAGGTAGCCACAAGCGATGCCTGCTGCGCCGATGAGCCTGACTGGGCATGGGTAGCGGCTGGGCCACGGGTCACGGGCAGCTAGCGGACCCCCTCACCCGCATTGCCGGCCAGGACACGCCCAACAGGGCCGCGTTGCCGCCGGGGCAGGCCGCGGTGCGCCGCCATTCGGTATTGTTTCCTGCTCTCATCCTCGAGTTGTTGCCTGAAATGCTTGTTACAATTCTCAGGCTCTATCAGCTTCTCAGTCCAGCTTCTCTGACCTTACGTGTGCGTGTTGTTACGATGCGGGGCCCTGGTCTGACCGCAGGGCCTGTACGACTACGTGGACCGAGCGTACGAGGAGGCGCAGATGCTGGTAGGGCCTGGCCGCCTAGCGTGTGCTTCGTGCATGCCGCTGCCATAGGCCTGGTGCGCCTGGCAGGGCTACAGTTGGAGAGCGTGACCACACGGCCCGTTGGCAGGGGCGCAGGGCACAGTTGCGGTGCGGGGCCTCCAGTGCGCTGCGGGTTTGCAGTTCGTGCTTTCCGCCTGGGAGGCCCAATGGCCCCGATGGTTTCGGAGCGGTTTAGCGCGGCGAGCAAGGAGCGGTGGCATAGAGCTTGTAAGGCCTTGGCAGGAAGGCAGCCAGGACTCACGCGAGCTAATGGAAAGGGGTTTTGGCACTGCTGCGCTTCATTGCTCTCAGAGTGCGGTTCCTTTGCTTGTGAAACTTATGGCGTTATGCGATGGCGTTGCTCTAATACCCGCTCGTGATCTTCTTGCCAGGCCACAAGCTGGTGACCGTGATTCCAGCTGTTGTGGAACACAGCGGACGAGTGGTTGTGTAGCCCAGGGATCCGTTTGATGGATTTGCCTTGTCCCCTGTCTGCAGGAGGAACTCGGTGGGGAGTCACCGTTGCCCAGCTACCCGCCTGCCGCTGCAAACGACATCATCGGCGTTGGCAGCTGGCGGTTGAAGGTGGGTGGTGCATGGGTCCATACGGCAATATGCAGTGGAAGGATGTTCTTCAGGAGCTTAAAATGAGGCACTTTCAAAAAAAAAGGTTTCACACGGGTCAGGTGGCTCGAATGCCCACCATGGCCTATCGTTGCATGATGGCTGCCGACATGATCCAGTCTGTTATGGTTGCATGCCAAGATGCTCCTGCGGCGTGTGCGTTCGCGTGGCGGGTTTTGTGGTGCGGACAGGCCCTGGCATACGTGCTACAAATTTTCTTACATACGACGTCAAAGTGTTTCTGGCAACGTAATTTTTCTCGCTTATCACTTTCGTGCGCTATACCGCCGCAGTCATATATGGATCCCGTCATTGAGTTCATGGTGTCGCGGATTGAAGGCTGTTGGCGGGAAATCCTGGATGAAGGTAAGTTTGCAGCACCAGCAGCGCAACTGCTGTTAATGGGCTTGGGGGTTGCTTCGGCCTAGGCTTGTCGTCCTACGGTGCCTCAGGTGTCGATCGATGCCCTGTGTTAGCTAACATCACACATAGTGACAGAAACGTCAATCCGTTTGGTTGCTCAATCAGACTTGCTCGATCCAAGCGCACGTTTCATCATCGTGGCTTCTTCTCCTTGGCTTTAGCCGTCGTCTGGCCGCCGCTGTCTCAGCCCGGCCCCAGTTTCACCCTGCACAACGTCGGAGCAGTGTACAGCTTGCACCTGCAGTGTACCCAAGCACCTATACAGCTGATAAATTGTTTTTATCGTCCCGCTTTTTCCTCCCAACCAGATTTGTGCTTGTATCCCCGGGACAAGTGGAAATCCGTCGGGTGGGATTTGGTAGACAGCGAGGATCCCAAGCGGGAGCTTGAAGGCTTCTCGTGGGCGGACATCCCGGACCCAGAGCAGGGCGCTGAGGGGTGAGCAGCATGTGACGCGGCGGGAGGGCGGGGCCTTGTGGGCGCGATGTGGCGGGAGAAGGAAGTTCAGCCGGAGGTGGAGAAGGTTGTGGTATGGTACGCCCGCCACGATACTGGGAGTTGCGCAAAACTCTCTTACAACCTGTCCCCGAGTTGATCGATACTACACCTGAACCTCGTCCCCATGAACAAGGATTCCGTTATGTGGTGTTTCCAGGGAAGCGTCCGACTGGAATGAGCGCGTCATATGTATCAGAATTTACTTAACATTTGTTAGGTAGTTCCATAGAAGTCGGGTTTTGGCCATTTGACTCGACGGAGGACGTTAGTGAAGCGCCACTCGCGACGCCCGAGCCCCTTCCAGCACGTGCAACGCATAGAATGACTCCATGTCCCACACACGTACACGCTGCGCAGCTACCCCCGGCTGCTGCTTGAGAACCGGGTGTACTGCAGCCGGGCGTTCCGCAAGTTGCACGTGGAGGTGGGCATTCGGCAAGACGGGCTACAGGTGCTGCATGTGGTGGTCTACCCGCGATACAAGTGAGAGCAGCAGCTTACCCTCTGCAGTCTAAGTTTTGCAGGGCTCGCAGTTCAGAGGGTTCAGAGGGTTTCAATTGGATGAAAGGCAAACGGGATTAGGGATATTGGGTTAGCGACGTTGGGGCTAGGGACGATGGGGTTAGGGACGGTGGGGTTAGGGACGGTGGGCTAGGAAGGAGTTAGGAAGGTTGGCTAGGGCGGGGCTTACGCAGGTATCTATTCGAAAGAGAGGGAAGGGAGGCGAGAATGTTTTCAGTAAGCAAAGGAGAAGGGTGTCCCTGATTTCCCAACCTTAATGCCCACAGCTACGATCTGCCCATCTTCGGACTTGACCTGGTCCTAGTCGACGGGCGCGTGACCTTGGCGATAGCGGACTGCTGCCCTGTGCGCCACGGCCTCAAGCTACCGCAACAGTACATGGAGGTGGGCTGGGCCTCTGGGCTTTCTCCTGTTAGAAGATAGCACCGCTTTTGTCATGGCGACTGTTTTAAGTCGCATGAACTGTCGTCGTGCTGTGGAAGTTTTATAGAGGTGAGAGAGGGATGGAAGGGCCAAACGAGTGCGGGTTTTCACCTCTCCACAGACCTCTAGCGGTTGGTATCCTCGCTGCGTTGGATTGTCAGCTCCAAGCTTTCTTCAGTGGCCAAGGAAATGGCCGCAGCCGCCGCCCGTCCGCATCAGCCGCGCCAGGGGCATCGGCCCATCCTGCCCATCCGATGCCGCGAGCATATCCATTCCTCCTTTTGCAAACGTTTCTCCGTCCACTGAATCGCATTTCCCGTTTTGTGGTCCTGGCCCCATTTTTATCCAAGTTGAGCGAGGCGGGTTGCTTAAGAAGCCCCCTTTTGGTCTTGTCCTCAACCTTTCCATAACTCGGTTGTCCAAAGCCAAGCAATAAAGCCACCAAATCAATAAAAGGCATCATGTAGCTCAATACACAGCGAGGCACCGCTCTGGTCTCAGCTTTTTTTCCCCGTACCGACACGGTTGGGCTTATCCCTCCACACGCTAGTCCCAGTTCCAGTTCGCTCACTTCCCGCTGCTTTTCTTGCCAGAAAGACATCGAAGCTGCACTGACGTTTTTTTCTATTTCGCCCACATTGTAGACAATGGTTCTCCTGCAGCGCACGTTCCTGGAGGGTCAGGACCCCGCCGCCCGCCGCATCCCGGATTGGGGCGCGGCCATCTTCTCGCAGCTAGTGCTGTGCATCACGCCCTCCACTCCGGAGGAGCTGGCAGCCTTTGCCAAGTACGCGGTGGCGCTTCACCGGGGGCACCTGATGCTCAGCCGCAATGCGGCACCCCTGGTGGCGGGGCCAGGGGACCGGCGTGGGGCAGCGAAGCTGCAGGAGCTCCTAGATGGGCAGAAGAGGTGAAGAATTGGGGTCAAAATGGAGCGCCGAGGGTACAGGGGAACAAATGCGTGTAGACACACGTAGGCCACTTAAGCACACGTGAATAGTGCAAATCCAGACGAGGGGGAACGGGCGCTGGATGGGGAATGCGCTGAGGGCTGGCCGGAGAAGATGGACGGGTAGCATTGGGGTGGGGCGTCGATTTCCGGTGCAGGAGGAAAAGGACAGAAAGGAGTTGAACACTACAGAAGTGTGAAATTGGATGGGGTTGGAGGAAAGAGTGGAATGTGGAGCTTGTGATGGGATTCGGGAAGGGGGGTTTAACGGTGCGCGGAAGAAAGTCGCCGAGAAACACCGAAGATTAGGACTCGATTGGAAACATACGCAAGGGCCGGTCAGCGGCTGTCGGAATGCAGTGGAGTTGCACCTCATCCGGTATTTTCTCCCCTAGCTAAGCTGTCTCCTACATCCGGCTGTTTATGTGCGTTCTGTCTTTTCCGCGCCAGGTTCTGTGATAATCAGCTCGCAAACAAGAAGACCCGCAGGGTGCTGGAGGCCGCGTTTGGGAAGGAGTGGGCAGACGAGTACATGAGCAAGGTGCGTCGCGGCGTCGGATACGGTGTATCGAGCCGGGCCTGCTTGTTGATTGGGCGTAGTGACCCAAAAGCATTCGGCCTTTGCCCGTCGCAACCAAAGTGGATCGTCGGCTATGCAAAGAGTGCGTCTGCGCTATAAACATTGTTGTCACGTATGGAACTCTGCAGCTCATGTTCGACTTTGACCCATCGTACGAGCCGCCGTTCGTCGACGAGACGTTGGATCGCTTGTACCAGATGCTGGACGAAAGCATTACACCCCAAGGCATGGGTAAGTGCATGAAGGGGGTTAGTTCCCCACTTTAGTACTTGGCAACTGGTTCGGCCCGTGCATTCATCAAAGGTACCGAGTGCATCACTAAATTGCGTGCTGCACACCTTATTCGCGCTGTGACTCCCCAGACAGTGGCTTACTTCTACCCCCTGTATCCATGCCCTACAAATGCCCGCAGCTGCCTACAACCAGGAGTTGGAAATGGCAGCCGAAGCCTCACGGGTATCCGAAACGCTCGATGCCGCTGCCTCCGGTCGGCCAGTGTCCCGGGATAAGCTCAACCTCGCCATGCAGTTTTTGTACGAGAGCGATCCAACTTTCCGTGCAGCCGTAGAAACGTTAACGGGTGGAAAGGAGGTAGGGCACCTCGCTGCATCGTTGACTTGTGACAAAGCTGAAAAGTCATCGTTTTATGTATGCAGATGCCATCGGACGAGGTGTTGACGGAGGAGTTTATTCAATTGCTCACATCCACAGGAGCCACGGAGGAGCTGCAAGGAATGACTTAGTACGGATGAAAATGAGTGAGCTTCCGCAATAGGCCGACATTTTGCCTAGCGTGTAAAGAACTTACGCATATTGTTGCCTGGTTTCTGGAAAGGATGCTTTGTGCCGAAACGGAAGCTACTGAAATCTAGACGCCAGACTTCTAACACCGGCTTTTCCTAGAGCAAAAGCGGCCCATGGCAGAAGGAAGAGATGAGGACATGAGACCATCAACTAGACAGCAAGGAGGCGCGTCGACTTCGCAGGTTGGCCTGGAGCCGCACACTTTCGCGTTGTGTCGGGCGTCCTTTGACAGTAACCGTTCGCTCGCGCAGCCTACCTTCGAGCCCGGCCAGAAAGCTACCTGTCTAGCAAGTTTTGATGGCCAGCAACGTGAGTCCTTAAACTGGACTGTGTATATATGGACTTTCCCGCTCTCTTGTGCCATCAGCCTTGGAACCCTTGCTGCAGATATGGTTGAGATTATTGACAGAAGAGTAGAACGGGGAGAGCTAATCTACTATGTACATTACACTGACCGTGAGTCGGAAGCTTGGAGATCTTGGTGGCGGGTGACAGCTTGGAAGTTCCAGCGTCCTGAATGCATAAAACCTGCAATGCTTTGCAGGGGATCGTCGTTTGGATGAATGGGTGACGGCCGATAGGCTTGCCGTGTGGGCTTTGACGCCTCGGCCAAGCCTAGCGCGCATTGACACGTTACCCACCGTTAGCCTTGGAGGGTAAGAGGGGTATGGTTTGCATTCCTGCAAGCCTCAAGTTGCCTAAGCCGCAAGTATACTTCATCAGGGCAGTAAGGATGCCAGTTTCCTTTAAGGCGCATAGCCGCATGCGTTTGGAGTCCTGAGTATTACCTCATCCACAGGGAACTGTTGTCGCCAACTGGCGATGTTAATAATTTGAAAGTCACGAGACGCCTTAAACGGAAGTACGAGGAAGCGCATCATCTGCCAGTCGTAAGTTGGCTTATGTGGTTGTGAGAAGCATGTATTATGTTAGCATGCCCCAACTTTCCCCTCCTTCCCGTCAGGATATGCTCGCTCTTCCGATACATAGGGGCATGGTCGGGAGTCGTCGAGTCGGGCTATTTTGTAGACTATTATTGGCAGAACATGGGGGAGTACTGGCGATATCCAGACATAGCCTAGAAAGCTGTTGGGCTTTCCAGCACGCCACTACTGGTGATTGAAGGATAAATGAACAACTGTTCTGTCTGCAGGATGAACACGGTGGCGACCATGGCCACGACAAGGAGCATCACCCTCCACGGGTTAAAAACATACAGGTGAGTCAACCAGAGACGGCCGGCTGGCGCAGAAGCGGGGTTCATTCGCTCGTTGGGTCCATCAGCTTTGCACAAAATAAAACCTCGTGGACACTTTGCCTTGCTTTCGGACCGTCAACAGGTCGTGGAATTTGGGCGGTACGAGATGGATACATGGTATTACTCTCCATATCCAGAGCCGTATGCGTCGGCGAATAAGCTGTACCTGTGCGAGTACACGCTTAAATACTTCCGGAAAAAGAAGACCCTGCTACGCCACTTGGCGAAGCTGGACATTCGGCATCCTCCAGGTATCGTGTCGTACCTGGCTTACGTACCCACGGTACTTGGTGGCATGGCACTTGTAGCGCTAAGATTAAGAACTAGTGATTAGCTTTCGCGGTACGGGGGGTTGTTTCTCGAAGAGTGCTTTTGTAAACCCCTGATTAGGCGACGAGATCTACCGGTCACCGCCGCCGCCGCCTGGGCAGCCCAACTACATCGGGGGAGCAGTCACGAAGCCACCGATTAGCGTCTTCGAAGTGGATGGCAAGAAAGCCAAGGTAGGGTTGATGACTGATGCGGGCATTTATCTGTTGGGTGTGCCGAGCTTGCTACCGACCTAAGGAATAGAGCTGACGGGCCAGAATCTCTGGTAAACTGGGGCTAGCCCCAGGCACGGCAGCTGCATTTGTGTAGGCTCTCATGGGGCGAACGGGGATTTGTCTTTCAATGGCCGCGTGGTCCGGTGCCACTTACCAGCCCTCGTCTCCCCTGTATTGTCTATGGTGGTATCTGTCTTCAGGTGTACTGCCAGAACTTGTGCCTGCTGTCCAAGCTGTTTCTTGACCACAAGACCCTCTACTACGACGTTGACCCGTTTCTCTTCTACGTCATGTGCGAGCGCGACCAGCACGGTTACCACATGGTGCGTGTGCTCGGATCCGCTGGATATTGCAATGGCGTTGGAGACGTCGCCATTTGACAGGTTACTCTTGCGACACCTAGTGACAAGCGTGAGCGTTTACCGGACGTGCATGGGCATGCTGCAGGTGGGGTACTTCAGCAAGGAGAAGAGCTGCATGGAGGACTACAACCTGGCCTGCATCCTGACGCTTCCCGCGTACCAACGCAAGGGCTATGGGAAATTCCTCATCGCCTTCGCGTACGAGCTGTCACGGCGAGAAGGTCGGGTTGGCACGCCCGAGCGGCCACTGTCGGATTTGGGCACGGTGAGTAGCCTTGTGCAGCATGTGCGCCTCCTTGCACGCACATCCATGGGGTTTTCAAGCACGAGGAAACTGCACTAGTATTCGATCATGTCTCATTGTCATACGTGGTAGCTTAGCCTTAGTCAAAAGCTCGAGTTATGGCTCAATTACAGTCTGTCCTTGTTGTCTTCGTGCTTTCCTGCTTCGGGCAAGCCCGTAATGTCCTTTCCCGTCCATGTCACATATGAACTCGGCCAGTCGCCAAAGGTTGTTGAGAATGTACATGACTTCCTGGATTGTTCTCGCTGAGGAAACGGTTTGGCTTGCTCGTAGGTGAGCTTCCGTAGCTACTGGACGCGCGTGCTGCTGGAGCAACTACGCAACGTCAAGGGTGACGTGTCCATCAAGGAGATGTCAGACGCGACCATGATCCGCGCGCAGGACATTGTGGAAACACTCCAGGTGCGCCGTTTGTGCCTGTCTGGTCTGATAAAGGCCTGTCTGCTCTGCTGCTGGAGGTATTCAAGTTTATTGCGACTATGATTGGGTATTTCTTCGGATTTGCAAGCTTCTGGCTTCACGCGGGTTACCCTGTTTGCTCTTATACAATCCCCTCGATCAGTAGCACGCTCGCGTTTTGCAGACTTTGCTAATGCCATGCTGCACTTGGTTTGTCCCCCAGAGCCTGGGCCTGATCAAGTACTGGAAGGGGACGCACCTGATCCACGCAGACCCACGGGTCGTGCAAGAGCACTGGGCGAAGTACGCGCACCAACGGGTCATCGAGGTGGACCCGGCCTGCTTGCATTGGCAACCGCTGCCTACGCCAACCGCACGGAAGCGGCCGTGAAACGGCTTATCAGTTGTATCTACGGAGGACAAACACAGATGGCACAGCTTTGTTGAGGGTAGTTTGCGGCGCGTTGTTTCAAGACCGAGAGTTGCGCCGTTGACTGGCACCTTAGCATGTTTAAGGTTAGGGCTTGTGACGGGGTGGATAATGAGCACACGTCAGAGTGGGGGCGCTGTACTGTGAGCTTGTGCTGCAAGGCGCCTGGTGATATGCTTAGTCCTGACTGACTTTACCTGTCAAGCGTGACAATTGACAATTACAGCAAACGAATGATGTGAACGCATGTATCCTGCGAGGACTTCACCCGCCACAGGAAACGTTGGCATCGCCTCAACTTTTCTGTCGTTGCGTCAAACGGCTACCCCCCACACACACACGTGCTCGGGAATGTGATGAATGCTTTGGGCTGACTGGTTGATGCATTAATGATGACTCCGTATGTATGACTTCGTAACCCATTCCCACGCCTGAAATGGCGGTGCTATACAGAAGATTAGCGTGGTGCCTTGACGCGTTTTTTGCCAAGTAGTGTAAATGTGGCACAAAGGTGGATGAAGTGGAATAAGATGTTCTCGGGTAGGTGATCCACGGGCTTTCGAATCTGATGCGGCCGCTCCATACATACGGAACAGGGCGACGGAGCAGGATAGTGTGTAAGGAAGTAATTTGCGCGAAGTCGGTTTGGGATTATGCGCCCAGGCTGCCTGCCCGCCAGCATTTCTGTTGGTGTTGTGGGTGTCCGCACAACTACGCTAGAGAGCTTGCTTGTACACCTATCTTACTCACCTACACAGTATGACAAGCCCGGACGAACTGGGGCAAGGGCGTGCAAGTTTCAATGCCTAGTGCACAAGCGATTGACGTGTGCCAACAGCTAAGGTCTGCTTTAAAGTGTTTGGACGGCAAACAAGGAAGAATCATATGCAAGACTTGAAGGTCAGCTACCGACGCCCTGGAAGGGGTCGTTAGGGATGGTAAGAGCAAGTGTAAGACTAGGAACTTTAGGAGGGCTGGGAGGGGGCGGTTGCAGGAGGACAATCTAGGAGGCTTGAGCGGTAGGAGTGCAAGGATTGGGGGAAGACCGCGGGTTCTTCCACCGTTTCACAACTAGTGTGAGGGGTAGGAATTCCATTTGCATCCTGTAGGGAGGCCAGTTCCTCGACGACGACGGCATCAATTTGCCAGAGCGCCCTCGCCAAGCTCCGCCAGCTCACTAATAGTGTTTTCTCGTTGCAATGCTGTAATGCTCGGGAACAGAGATCCGGTTTCCACTTATTCGCTGCTAGCTGCAGCATCGGCTCTAATAATGACTTATAACCACAAGCTGGCGTTATCTGCGAGTCACGCTTCATGATATGCCAGTCTATCAAAGTCGGCTTTAAGTCCAGTCGGTGTACGGTACTGCAGCATGCAAGTATGATTTGGAAATGATGTGCATGAGGTAAATCAAACACCCCTGTGATATTTGCGCGAAAATGTCGTTTCCTATGCGTTAGAGATCGCCTAGAGAAGATATAAAAGGTTTCTAAATATGCAACTGCTTACGTAATACTGGTGCAACATCCCTATGCAACTTTTAGGAGACAAGTATGACAAATCTCTTCCTTTATTTAGCTCTGGCTTTGGTCACTTGCTTTCGTATGAGTCGCTTAGTTGCAGGCGATCCTGTTAATGACTTAAGAGACCAGAAACAACTTCCTCCACCCCTCACGCTCGGCGTCCAGTACGTCCGGCTCTTTGCCAATGCGCCGGTTCATGGGCAGGAGAAAGAAATCTTATTAAATGTTTGGCTGCGGCGTATCTCGCGAGATGGAGGAGGGGAGGGAGCGCCTAGCGCTTTCTTGCTACCGACTCAAACCGATGCTGTTGAGGGTTTTGCCTGGGCAGATGATTTGGGCAACCTTGAAAATAACAAATTTGGCATAATGATGACCACAGTAGATGCCCACACGTGGAGACCCCGACTGCAGCTGCAAGTATGGGACAGCGACGTCGTCGTCTCGGCCACTCATCACCCGGCGCTGTTTGGGCCAGGCGGAAAACCACTCCAGCCACCTTGGTCGCATCTTCGGCCGTTCTTCTTCACCTTTCCACTTGACTCCGCTTCATCTGCGAGCTGCTTTAAGGTACGCACCTCCTGTGGGATTGGTCATGCTACAAGATTGTTTCTCGAAAACGCGCACCAAGCTTCTTAGGGCCTGGAGCATGGACAGAAGAGACGCACGGGGACAAGAACCCACCGACAACTCAACCCCCTTTTCGCATGGCGCATTGCTGCAGGTGTACGAAGAGTCGCACCCCGACATCAAGGCGCCATTCTGCCTTCCCATCTCATCCGCTGGCCTATGCAGTCGGCTGGCGCCCGATAGTTCTTTCTCTCCTTCGAATCCCGCCCTGTGGACGGTGATGGTGCCCTTTCGCAGCTGGGGACTCAACGGCTCGCAGTGGGAGCGCTACAGCGAGCGCGTAGCCCAACGGCTGGAGCATTACATGACCCACCTGCGCGCCATCGGCGCCACAGGCCTGCTGCTATACGCTGACCACTTCAGCAGCCAGGCACTATCGCGCTATCCTGGGGTGCAGCGGATGCTGCTGGATGGCACGTTGATGTTTGTGGAATGGGAATTCCACGAAAGGCTGCAGTACAATTCGGATCAGGCCCTGATATATAGCCATGCCTTGCTAGGGCTGTCATCCTGCGGCTCCAACCTTTGGTTGCAACCTGTGGACGTGGACGAGCTGCTTTATTCCCCGGACGGCAAGCCTTGGCCCGAGATGTTTGACTGCTTGACAAAACCTTATGCCAGCAATCCTCCCGGCGTCATCCGGCTGACCCGAATTAATATAATCGCGTCCACTGTTGGAGCGCAGAATGAATCAGCAATATGGTACTCGGCTCCGGATGCAGATGGGAGGCATCCGCTCCTGCTTTATGACAAGGTTTCTAAGCTGCCGTTTGCAGTTAATATTGGCAAGTACATCGCCTGTCCGGCTCGCCGCATCGTTGCAGTGTGGATGCACACCGCCCTGCCCCTCCATGGTACTTTCCGTGAAGGTAAAGCGAGCTGCGCTTTTTACCTCCACGTCCCTAATTACTGGGTTCCAAGGGAAAACGACAGTGATGCCAAATATGAGCGCTTCAGCGACCGGATCCGCATACCTCACTGACATCAACTGCGAAATCAGCGCAAATAGGCTATAAATAAGAGTGTGAGATAGGAGGGTGGGAATTCGCCATCGCAAGATGTGGCTGGGCACCGGAGAGGGTCCCTGTCGGGGATGTTTGCGCTAGATGCCGCTGGTGTGGTGAAGATGCGGCTGGCGGGGCCTGGCAGAGGGTGCCTCCAGTCAGTTAAGGGGGCGATGTCCGTTAGGTAAAATTTGGCCTGGCGGATGTGCATATCTGAGTCAGTTGGAATGGCGCGCTGTCCGTTAGCTAGGATTGGCCTCGCGGGGGTTTAAGTGCTACGCTGCTGTCTTAAGACTCCACTACGCCTTGTCGATTACGCGGAACGTGGGCCTCCCTAAGTTCCGTTGGCTCGTGTCGTGGAAACTACTGTAACAGAACGGTCACGACCTCAGAACCCCCTTAACCGCCATTTAGGTTGCCTTAGTTTTATACCAAGTTAGCATTCAGCATGAAATTTCGGATCAATCTGGGGTCTCGGGACAAAAAATGCACCTCGGGGGCACTTAATTCTTAATAATAAAAAGTGTTGGAAGTGCCGCTGGTATCCACAAATGGCCTTCAATCCAAGCACAAAAGCATCAAAAGAGGCGTTTGTGACTGGCCTGGGGGGAACCTCCAAATTGGAAATCTTCGTTCTTGTCGCCACCTTGTCCTTAAGCATCGTAGTTTGTAAGCATTCGCTTGATACTTTAAATTTTTGCACCTTGCAAATGCATTAACTCACTTTCGGCTTTCGGCTTTACTGGCAGGCGAACACACAAAGTCAAGGAAGCACCCGGACAGAGGGTAAGCAAAAGGGGCGAAGCATCTATACATAAGGCAGATCAGAAAATTGTCATACCGCCATCGTCTTACGAGCTCCACCTTTGCGAAAGTCCTAACCGTTGCAACGGTGACATGCGCACCTTGTACGGGTCGCCCCCTCGCGCGCAGGCTTGCGCTGGAGCTGCTGCTGATCATTTGCCCGCAGATTCTTATCTGCACATCGGCCCTGCCGTTATGGCCGACGTTAGCGGTCTTGGTGTTGGCTGCCTCAATCTGTTATCTGCGGGACTCCAAGCATCCTCGCCACGCAGCATGCCAGGACCTGCCGGGCGTGGACGACATCGCAGGCCGCAGGAAAAGGTAAAAGAAACAAATCTTCCTCCACATACATGCGCGCACGCGTGTATGCAGGTTACAACAGCGAATAAGCTACTTCTCACTGTGCGACACTCGGGTCGCGATTTGAACAACCCAGCATGCTACAGGCCCAATTTCCCCCGAAGCCCATGTCGTCTCCTCATCCACATGCGGACTCCTCGGTTCCAACTCCCCTTCATCTTTTCCCACACTCTCCTTCCTTCAGCTGTGTGTCCAGTGCCTCACCCAACACCATCTGGTTCTGAGCCCTGTCCGGGTGGGGTTTTCTTCCACTCTCTTCCTCCGCCTTCCTTTACTCAGCTCCGCTCCGCTCCCCCGCCGCATCCCCCTCTCAGCTTTATAGGCATCTTCCGCGGGGCCCTCATGGCGGCCACCTGCCTCTGCATCCTGGCTGTCGATTTTCGCGCCTTTCCCCGCCGTTACGCCAAGACAGAGGTGTACGGGACAGGTACGGCACACGACACACGGCACGGCCCGTACGAACTTGGATGCAAGGGATCCCCCATGAGTGCTCCTGCCGGCCCGGTTGGTAGCGGCTACTTGTGGCCGCATCGCGGTGGCCTGGGAGTTGCAGTCCGGGAGGTTTGGAGCCGAGTGAATGCTGCCTGGGTAGTGTCTGTCAGGATGCGGTATGTGTGCTTGCGCTTGCATATGCATGCATGCATACATACAGACATACAGAAATACAGAAATACAGAAATACATACACACATACGCATTAAGAGGATTCTTGTATGGCCAGCTTTCTAAGCCTTCCGAAGCCGCTGCCTACCGCAGGTCGGCGGGCCATTGCATAACCCAACACACACATCCCTAAGCCTCACCGGTAGTCCAGGCCCGGTTTGGCCGAATCACAGCCCTTGGGGTCGTTGCGGTCTGTGTATTCCCTTGGTGTCTGGGGCTCGCTGTAATACCCACTGCTACAAGTAGCCCGAGAAAGGAGTTCATCTGACCGCTCAATGCGCCTTAACAACAAGCTGCTACTGTTGGTTTGGAAGGTAGGCTTAGCAACCCAAAAGCAAGATCCAACTGCACTAACGCCCAACGGTAACAGAACCCGCCGAAAAGACCTGAGCACACGGGAAGTTCGAAATACCCCTACACCCCTGAAGCCCGAACACGGTACCCACTTCCCCCCCCATCGTCCCCTTATCGGACGCGGGCCCCCCATCAGGTTACATGGACGTCGGCGTCGGCGGTGTCGTACTGACGGCGGGTTTAGTCAGCCCAGCGGGCCTGCCGGCGGACGACGGCGGCGACGAAGCTGGCGGCCGTGCCGGGAAGAGTGAAAATGGTTCCCAGCCGCGAAGACGGAAGCACCAGCAGCAGCCGCTGTAAGTCCCGGTGGGCTGTCGCCTGTAGGAGCTTTTTCTGATCTGATTCGTTTGTCGTACGCGCTCATGCAGTTCTACTACTGAACGGACCTACTGATTAATTAATGTCTTACTGCGGTTGCTGATGATGGTGTTGGTGTTGATGCTGCGCCTGTTGGTATTAGTTTTGTTTGTTGCGAGGTAAGCTGTGTTGAAGACGAAGGCAAATGTGCAATACCCTTAGAGCAACGCCGGGTCTTTGTATGCTCGATCCCTAAGTGCAACGTCTCGCTGGGCGAGTTTTTCTTCCCCGTTACGCTCGCAATGTGTTGCTCCCAATGACACATCTTCATGCCATGCCGTGCCGTGCCATGTCATGCCAGCTTTTTGTAACGGATTCACCTGCCAGCTTCACCGTGCCGTAGTCCTGGCGCGCCATGCGTATTCCCGCAGCGGCCGGCGGCTGCTGAGCGGGCTGAGGGGCGCCGCCGCCTGCTGGGTGCTGGGACTTGCCCGGCTGCTCACCACACGGGCGGTGGAATACCAGGTAGGGCAAGTACTCGGAGTGACGGTGGGTGGCGGTAAGCAGCTGTGGCGGTAATCAGCACGACAGATGCGTACCGTTGTACTTTACCGGCCGGGCAATCCCGTCTGGGACCCAAAACCACACGCAGCCCCCACGCTACCTCCCGCCGGGCCCCCAGGAGCATGTGGGTGAGTACGGCGTGCACTGGAACTTCTTCGACACTATAGCGGTGGTGGCGCTGTTGGGCCGCGCGGTGGCGCTGCCGCCCGAGCTGTTGGCTCCTGCGGCGATCGTCGTCACGGCGGGGCACCAAGCTGTGCTGAGCCTAGGTGGGTGCATGCACCGGTAGCCTCCATTAGCACTCCATGAGCGCTCCTTTACCTCGAGCCGTCACGAAGTTATCCTGGCCAAGCGCCGAGCCCCAAACTCCATCGGCCTTGGTTAGGAGGACCGTAACACCCTTGGGGAGCCCCTCCCCTTGTGTGTATGTGTGTGTGTGTATGTGTATGTTTTGAGACTTGATGGCTGACTGATCGCGTCCGCCTGCAGGCGGCTTCGGTCCGTGGGTTCTGTCGGCCGAGCGCGGCACCGACCTGCTGAGCCTGAACAAGGAGGGCATCGTGTCCTGTTTAGGCTTCTGGGCTCTGTACCTGTGGGGTGCGGCACTGGCGCACGCTTTCCACGTCTCCGTGCAGCCCGCTATACGGCACTTGCGAAAACGACATGAAGAGTCGCGGGACGAGAAGCACGGTGGTGCTACCGCAGCTTCAACGCTTGTGCGGTGGTGTGTGCAACTCGTTCTGTTGGACGGGCTTATGTGGGTTGCGGTGGCGGCGCTGGAAGCAGTGGAGCCCGTCTCCCGAAGGCGAGTATGATGAGTAAAAAGCTGTATGTTGCTACGGCTGTACGGCTGTTTTCTCAATCCATGAGGGAGGTTGTAAGAACCAATGTATGTGCTGACGGAGGAGGCGGGTGCGTGCTGCTAATGAATGAATGTAAGCGTTGAGTTCTGGGTGTTGATCGGCCAGGTTTAACCTCGGCATCGAGTAGAGTGAAGGGTGAAGGGGTTGTCCTGTCCTTTCCTGCCCAACCCTTATGCCTGATGCATCCTGCCGCTGTGCCTTTCGGGCCTTCGCGTCCGTTTACAGTTTGATGTGCTCAGTGTGCCACATCCCTGTACGACCGGTTACGTGAGCTGCGATGTGTGTCCGCCGTCCCCTTCACTACACCGCCTCGCATCACGCCAGGCCGTATTGCACGGCCTCAACGTGCAATACACATACGTACATACATGCACGCAGGTCCTGCAATGCGGCCTATATCATGTGGATCGTGGCGCAATGCCTGGCGGGCATGTTGCCACTGGCGTTGTGGCAAGCGCTGGCTACTGCAGCCGCCGCCTCCACCGCCTCGTCGGCTAGTGAAGACGGAAGCTGCCGTCCCGGTCCCGCGCCCGTCCCTTGCCCCGGCGATGATGATGGTCTTGGTTCAAAGGGCGGCAACGTTGAACGCGGCAGCGGAGGCGCAGGCAACGTGGCAGCCACTGTGCCGCGAGGAACAGTGAATTGCCAGTCAGCCGCGTCACGGGCCGCTTCCGCATGTCAGCTAGGCGCTCGAGGGGAGCTGGGCAAGTGGGGACCCCGCGTGCTGCAGGTGGGTTCGGGGGGAGGGGGAAAGTTGGAGTTGGGTTGGAGGGAGGGCGGGAAGCCGGACGGAACCCGGGGGGTGGATTGTTCAGGGTAATTAGTCGAAAGACATTCGCGCGTGAGGGGGGAGACACGTACGATGGGTAGCTCGGTCCTCACATCCAGCAAGCTTCCGGAGCGCCGCAGCAGCATCGATCGGCGGAAGCGGCACCTACGAAGCCCACTTTGGCTATCGTTCCCTTTGCCGTCGTCCTCTCGCCTTCCTTTGGGCTGTTGGCATGCGGTCCATGTTTCGAGTCGGCGCTGTCTCGAATCAGAGCGTAACCTTCCCAACCGACATCCTGCAGGCCATCAACTCCAACCAGTTGGCCATCTTCCTGGCCGCTAACCTGATGACTGGGGCCGTGAACCTGAGCTGCGACACGTTGCAAGTAGGTGGATAGGTTGGGGGGAGTACGACACGCTCCTGCGGTGGATGGCACCATCGGGATGTATCCGCCGGCCGGGCACGAGTGTTACTGTCAAAACTGGAGATTCCAGGGCCGGCCCAACAAATATCTTAAAAGCCCCTATATACTAGTTCCGCTTGCGCCTGGCCACACCCGTCCTTTCAGCCCAGAAAAAAGTTTCGGAGGGTTGGATCCTGCCAAAACGACCTCGCTCTGGACCTCGTGCATTGCGTGACATGGCGCTATCTTGTCCCTAGCCCTCATGTAGATGGTTTTTTCCTCTTCTTTACCTTCCTCCACCTTCCGCAATTCATCTCCACTCGTGCAACGCATTACAGATCGAGGACTGGCCTGCGCGGGTGCTGCTGGGTGGGTGGGTGGCTCATGCAGGGAGGGACAGCTGCGTGCAGGAGGGGGGCATCATGTAGAGGATGCGAAGGATGCGGTATCAGACGGGTCAACCCAGGAGATGTTTGTTTAGGAACAGGAGACCACACCAGGGGGAAGGTTGGGCCTCGAGCTCACGCCGCTGTATATCCTGGCCATAAGACACAACTTCCTGAGGATGCATCGTACTGGGGGGTGGATATGCACATATCAGCTCCGCCGGTCCCTGCGCACCTTCGCCAGGCCTTCATGCATGGTCTTCCAGTTTTGCATGCACTCCGACAAGGGCCCTCCTCACGTCCAGCTCGTGTTCACCTTAGCATATGTGTCAGTGTGAGCTAAGAGCTAAGCTGCACACAAAGTTTGTCCTCCAACGTCCATTTCCCGTGTCCCTAACCGGGGCTGCTGCAGGAGCATACATGAGCCTCGTGTGTTATCTAGCGCTGCTGCTGGATACGCGTGGCTGGCGAATGAAGCTGTGATGTATGGAACGTCCAAGCATTTTATGGTTGACGTTTCATCAATAGGAGGGCATGAGGTCCATGTAACACGAGCCAAAATGGTCCGATGCCTAGCAATGCAAAAGCTCTCGAAACGCTCTTCACGGGTTTGCCGAACTTCCTGACGGCGAGGGGAGGAGGTGACCCAAATCAAAGGCTCCGAAACCTCCACAAACCAACCAGCGGCCAAGCTACAATGGTCCATCCACTGTGTAATGGGCACGTCCTCTTCTGACGCCTTACGGAAGCGTTCAATGCTTCGAAAAAACTTCAAGTGATGATTATCCGCAATAAAAACATCTCCTCCCCAACCGCCAAGGCGCGTGGAGTCCGTTAGATGTGCACCAACAGCGGAATGGCTCACAGAAGCTGATGTTGCCCCTCTCGCGCTTCTCAACCCTTACTCCTCCTCATCCTTCAGTTCGCTCTCGCGTTCTCGGCTCTTTTCACCCGGAATTGCTGCGCATCCGCCAGCAGAGGTTCCGGCACCTACCAGGAAGCGCATCACCAAAGTACGGGGATCAGGCCAACCGGGGCTCCAGTGAGACACCGTACAGTTTGGGAGTCGAAAGGAGGGGATATTGCAGGTGCGATAAATCAGCGGGGAGCTGTCCCGATACGCGGCTTGTGGATTAAGTTGCATGTAAATCTGTATGAGCTGTCGCATAGCGCACCTGCTGCAGAAATTTGTCGATTGCCTGCTCTGCCCCTGCCGCCGCATCCGGAGCGGCCTGGGCCTCGGGCCTTATCGTACGACCGCTTATGGTGAGGACCCGGCCCAGGCCCTGGTAGACAGCATCCGCCACCTGGCAAGACACAGAGGATTGAAAGTACGACACCTGAAAAGAGGGTTGAGTGTACGACATCTCACATCATTGATGGTTGCTAACTAGGTGTTACGTGCCACGACTAGCCACCACTGCCCACCGGAGAGGATCATGTTCCGCAGCCTTCCATCGCCCTGACTTTGCTTTTCGGCTGCGTCTTCGCAATTCATGATCCCCCCTACCGGTACTCGCTTCAGCTTTAAATAACACTCGCATTCTTTCCCTTTCAGTTGCTTACCCCGACGCCCTGCGCCTTGCCGCCGTAGTACTCGCTCAGCGTCTCCTCCTTGTCAGACGCGCCGGTGACCACCCCAGCCACGACAGGGGCAGCCTCCGCAACAGCTCGAAGCCGCTTGGCGTATGCGGGCCAGAAGGCACGGGCGCGGAATCGCTCCTCACTGTCCGCGGGCGTTGCGGCGATGCCCTGAAGGGAGGGAATCATATGCAGGACATCGTAACACAGAAATAAACTGCCAGCGGAGAAGGGGGAGAGGCTTCGGAAACTGGTTGATCGGCCACTGATGGCCACTGCAACCCCCAACAGCACCGCTGCTCGATGGCGGCGAGCCTTTCGAAAGCCCACGTCAACATGCGTAGAGAGACGGACACCAGCACATGCAGGCTGGTGGACGGGCGACGCAATCCGAAGATGCACTGCAAGGACGAAACTAGGGTCGCGTTCTTCCTTCTTCTTTACGCATACGGAGCACACATGCGAGTTAGCTGCATAAGTTAGTGCATGGGTATTAGGTTCCCTTAGACCTGGTATGTTCTCATGTGTGTGCTCCTCCTTTCGGCTACGCACACAATGCTACGAGCAATATACCAATTGCCCCACGGCCAGCAAAGCTCCAACCTGAATCTCCCGGAGAGTGCTCCTGGCATCCAGCAGGATGACCACGGCGTCCTGCGGGGGGTTGGGGCCATGAAAGGGTGTCAGGAAGGGAGGAGGAGGGAGAAGAAGGGATGGACGGATGGAGGTTCCAGGGGGTCATTTACTGTCAAAGAGGCGTCGGTATGTTTAAATACATTAAGACGGAAGTATTGCCCCGAAGGCAAGGTTGCAAGCACAGTTAAAAGATTGAAATCGGGGGCGTGGGATGCCGGGGGTCTTCCCTGGAAGGTGCACATACCCCCTGGGTGAGGCCCCCTGGTGAGCCCCCTAAACCCTGGGACACTGATCACCTTGACGCTGACGTCCGGACGCGTAAATCCGCGCAGTGCGTCCTGTAGCACGTCCGCAGTAGATGGCTGCGGCGCTACGAGCGCGGGAGCTCCAGCAAGCGCAATACTGAGCAATGTGCGGCGAGCCAAGGCGAGGGGAGCACTCTGCACGGCCTCGCGACGCGGTGAGGAAGTGCTGGCGTACACGCTGACGAAGGGCAGGCGTCCGGACCGCCTTTTGCACCCCAATCCCGCCTGTACAAAGCAAAATGCTCGTCATCAACTCGTTTCAGTGTCTTTGGCTTCAGTAAAACGTCTTTTCTTAGCTCACCTTTTGCGACCGGCAGTCTAGGAGAGACCTCATGCTTCAGGCTGAGATCTAATAATAATACCTAGCAGCTTTCGAGTCAGCCTGTAATTGTCTCGTCAAACTTGAAATATTTGGGAGAAGTGCAGACCGTACTTTTGCACGACATGCATCGACATACCACTCTACTTAGCCATGTTAAAGATCTATGTTTCGCAGAAATATTTCTCGTGTCCGAAAAGCCGTGATTTGCCTATCACGTATAAAAGTGGACCTACAGTATACTAGCACTCGAGAGTCAATGATCCCTATACATACATACGTGGCGTCAGGGCCACGTGATAAGGTGGCGTCACGAAGGCAACATGAGCAAGTCATTGCGAAGTTTAGGAACTCATAAGCAACTCACCTGATTCTATGCAGAACCCTGACTCGCCTTTGTGAGTCGGCTATTGGTCGGCTACTGCAAGAGTGTACACAAGTTGTAGGACTACAGTAATTTTGTGTGGTGAAGATAAATTTATGGCTCTGCCACTCTTTCCCTTGCGTGGCGGACATGTCCCCATCCCCTAACCATCATCACCGCGCGTCTCCATACCGGCCCAAAAGCATACCGACTGCGTAACCGCTTGTATGCAGCTGGCAGGCATAAAAAGGACGGGAATAAAATCATGACGATCCCCAATGCCAGCCCAGGAAACCCCAGAATAACCCCCAAAGAAAACCGTGAATATCTTTCTGTTATCTGTCACCTGGACATTTGATTAGACAGCTCCCTAAATAGCTGGCACGGGCTGCGGCCCAACCCGCCAACCCCATCTAGCCACAGTTCCAGCTTACACCCTGCTGCCCCCTCTCGAGCTCCAAAGATGCCAGCCAGTCGCGGGCGCTGTGATGGCGGTGATGATGATGGTTGTGGTTGTGGTGATGAGAGGCAGCCGCGGCAGCGGAAGTGCCGCCTCCGGCACCAGCGGCCGCCAGCACCGCGAGGAAGCTGTCGCACAGCTGACCCACGCGGGCCAACAAACGCATGAGGCGAGTGCGCCAGGCTGGCGCGTGGAGGCCGGAAGTGGGGTTTTGGACCCCAGGAGCGGACAACGCACTGCGGGCATACTTACAAAAGGTAGTGAGAGGCTATGAGGGTATGCGCTTTACAGTCCTTGCGCAACGGCTTCCCTACTTCCGTTGTCTCCTCTTCCCCTGAAGGCCCCGCGTTGTACCTTTGCAAATTGTCTGCAGTTCTCCCCTACCTCCTGAAAGAATCTAACGCAATCTTACAGGATATACAAGTGAGCACCTGTAGGTCCCGGCACAGCTGCCACCCAACAGGAAACCAATTTCCCAACTAGAAAACAACGACGACAATCAACAATAACAACAACAAGACAACAACAATAACGAGCAACCCTGAGAGAAGCCAAAAATCAGCCCTGGACAACAAGTGAGATTAGCTGCGGCCCCGGGCTTTCGAAATGAAGGAGACCTCCACAGTACGACGACCAGAACGACAACCTGTATGCAACATGAATATCAATTTTAGTGACAACTACCGACCCAAGATATGTCTCTGCGCAGTATCACTCCCAAGGGGTAACACACAGCCTTACGCAAGTGCAACCAGGAAGGGACGCTCGAAGCACGGAGGATAAAGATCGCTCGAGAGGTCGGATGATCGCTCAGATCATCCTACCACAGTCACCCATACAGCATGTTGCGCTAATGCAACACACCTGCAGCAGTGCTAGGAGATGTACAACCACCATCCACCAACGGTCCGCAACCGCAACTGCAAAGTGAAGGTCCTCATCTCAAGCTTCATTTTAGAAAGAACATTACGACGAAGCCTCAAGGTTAAGGCATTCCAAAAAGCAAAACAATCCACCAAACACACGCCTGCAAAATGCCTACAAATCTGCGTGCCAACTCAGCAACAGATCGTACGCCGCAATAGTCAAAGCCATAGCGCACAGGTCGTTATATGGTGACAACGTTCATAACGCACGGATCCAAACTCCAATCTGCGTCCTCCACAGCTTCCTCGCCCCCTCCAACAGACCCACAACTGCCAACCACTGCCCCCTTTCCTTCGTCACTCTTCATCTCTCCCTCTCTTTCCCTCGATATCTCTCTCGATCCATCACACACACATACATACAGGTCGAAACAGCGGAAACGGCATTTAGCCGAAAGAGAGAAGCCATGCATAGACAAAGCCTGCCTAGCTGCTGCTGCATACGATGCACTGGCAAGCTACTGCCGCGGCCGTTCCAGGTGCTACAGCCCTTGGTGCTGCTGCAGTTGCTGGGGTAGCCTGCCGCCGTGCTCCTCCCTCCGGCCTCCGCTTTTGCGCCGCCACCATGAGACATGCGTTTTAAGTAACCATTGCTTCCTCTGGCAGTACCTCACCTCAGGCCGCAGCTCCGGCAGCTTCTCTGATAAGATAGAAACGATAAATCGTCCCGCCGCTGCTGCCACCACCACCACCATAGCAGCAGCAGCAGCAGCAACACCGACACAAGCCGCGCATCTGCCGATTCCCACCCCGAAACTACTGCACAGGGATCCTCAACCCCCTAAATCCTGCCTTAACATCAGTTACACAAAAATGGATTATTCCTACCACGCCCAAACGCCCAAACGCTCAAGTGCCGAAAAACCCTCCCCTCCCCTCCCCTCCCCCTCCATTCGTTCCCGCGGGGTCAGCGAAGACCTGATTCAAATTTTGTCGATGTCCGAATTGCTCCTTTCAGAAATCGCCAACCCCTGGCTAGGGACCTTGGGGCCCTGAAACCTTAAATGCTCCGAGACCAGAGGCTCCCGAGGGCGCGCTTCATCCGCGACACGATGGACGGACTGTTGATGTTGGGCTCCTCGGCATCGCCGCCGCCACCATCGCCGCCCCCGCCAGCCCCTGACACCGCGCGTTGGCCGGGACGAAGCCCCCCAGCGGCTACGTTTTCTTGCATCGCCGCCGCAGCTCGCCGATGATATGGATGCTGCGGCTGGGGATGATGATGCCTCTCTCGCGGACTAAGGAAACCGACCGCGCCAGTGCCAGCCGCCGTCAGCCCATTGGACCCAATGACGGTGTTGGAACCGTGCAGGGCGCCGCCAGCGACAACGCCCCCCAGGCGAACGCGCAGGCCTCCATCCGTGGAAAATGACCGCTCTCGCCTGGCGTTGTACGCGGCAATTGATAGCGGAACAGGGACCGAAGCGGCGGCCGGCCCCGGACCCTTGCCACCGCTGGCATCTGTGGTGCCGCCGCTGCGGCGCGTGCGCAGAGGCACTGAAACTGCGGCGGCGACAGCGCCGCCGCCGCCATCCGTCACCGCTGCCGCCACGCCCTGTCGGGGCCGTTGTACAAAGGTCGCTATTGCGGTTCCTTCCGCTGCGGAGCAGCTTAAGAAGGACCGTACACCGCGGTTACGTCGGGAGCTCCGCATTTCTGCCGGTGTTGTTGCCGCCGCCGCCGCCGGCACCCCCGCGCCAGCGGCGTCGACAGCCGCTGCGGGGGAACCAGCCGCGGCGTCTGCGATGGGCGGCAGCCGGACGCCGACGAAAGCACTGCTTGAATCGCCAGCTGGACACCCCTGGAGCGGCGGAGGGTAGTGGCGGTACACAGACGTTTGAGGAGAGCGGAACCGAAATGCAGACTTGCATATCGTAGTGGGTGACGTGGCTGGCTGGCTTCGTCACCGAAACACGATGAGCGCTGAGAGCGGCAACTGGTAACCGACTCGCGGGGGTGAGGCAGGGAGTTGAAAGCGAACCGAGGGGGCTTAGGGTTGGCGGGTGGAGGATAGCGAACGAAGCACGAACGGGCACAGCACAACGCGCTTATACCATATCCAACCTTCCCTTTACCTTTGAAAATCAGCCCCTTGAGTCCATCACACACCACGAACTAGGCGCACCTGTGCTTGCGCTCCTGACGAACGCAGGGTGCGGTGCACGCCGCTGCCGCTGCCGCTGGCGGCAGCGGCAGCATGGCAACCACCCCCAGTGGCATCCAGAACGTTCGTAACTCCCTCCGCAGTCACATTGAAGCCTGGGGCCGCGTAGGGACTCGCGCCGCATGACGCGGCTGTGAATGCGGAAGAAGGGGAGGGGACCAGCGGCATGTCGAAGGTCGGGACCCACTGCTGCGGAGGCGCCGCCCGGACGACGCTCCGGGCTCGGCTGATGCGAGTAAACAGCTGTTCTGTACGGGGCGCCAGCGGTGCCGAGATTGCTGAGATGTTATTGCTCCCACTGCCGCTACTGCCGCTGCCAGTGGCGGCGGCTGTTGCTAACTTGGCGCCGCTAACATCACCGCCGACGCCTCCGCTGCCGCCACCACTGCCCTCGTCCGTGGAGACGTTCCGTCGGAAGCTGCGCCCCTCCAGCGGTGGCGGTGGGGGGCCGGTCCCCTCGCCGCTGGTGAATTTCGGCCGAAGGGTGAGTCCACCAGCGAATTGGCCGCTCGTCCCACTGCCTGCGGCGATGGCACCGCTGCCATAGGTACCGCTTGGCTCGCGGCGCTGCGGAGGTGGCGGTGGCGGCAATGGCCGCCGCATGCTGCTAGAGCTAAGATTCAAACTTGTGTTAGACGTTGTACAACTGACGACCACCTCCCCACAGCTCCCGTCAGCGGCTCGCGGCAGGTCCTTTCCCTCCTCCTTTTCCTCCACTACAATTGCAGAAACGTGCTCGCGTGGCGATGCGGCGGCGCTACCGCGCAGGTTCGAATCCGTTGAAGAACAAGCCTGCGGGCCATGCTGCGGTGAACGGGTGCGCGGGTGGAGCTGAACATGTCGGCCCGATCCCGCCAGGGCCAGGGTCTTGCTCCCCAGAGACTCTGGGCCAGCGGACACGCCTACCCCTGGATGCGTGAGCTGCCGTAGCCCGTGGCCAAAGTGAAGGACGCCGCCGCCGCCGCCGCCAGGAGCATGCATCCCAAAGCCTCCACCAACAGGATGTACGGGATGCGCTCCTCCGCCAGTCCCGCTGCTGGCGCCGCCGCCGCCAGCGAGACCGGAGACAAAGCCGAGATGTTGTCGCTGTCGGGCCGAGGGGCTCGTGGGGTTGCTGCGAAACGCGTCGGGGCCGGTCTTGGCGGCCGACGTTGACAGAAAGCAGGTAGAGGAGGACGTGGCTTGCTGCGGGTGCGGCCTGGCGATGCACGGCAACGCGGCCGAGGCGCAAGCAGGTTGCGGCTGCCCGTAAGACTCCCGCAGCGCTTGCAGCATCCGATCTGCGCGGCGCAGTCCGCTGTCAGTACGGCGCAGTTCGGCGCCGTACCCACCGACGTCAGCGGCGTCGGCGGCGCTGTCTGCATCGGCTGTGAAGTCCACGTTGGCCTCGGTGTTTACAGGGCCCCCAGGTTGGCTGGTGCCGCAGGCGTCGCTGGTGCCGCTGGTCCCGCCCCCGGAGGCCAAGCCCGCAACCTGGGGTAGCCTAGGGCTAGGAAAGGGCTTAGAGCAGCCGACTCCTGCGACACAAGTAGAAATGCCGTTGCTGGTAATCCGCGAAATGGCTGGGATGTGCCCTGTAGCAGCAGCAGTAGCACCACCGCCGCCACGGCGGCGTGTGCACGTGCTCCTGTCGGCCCCGGGCAAGCTCCCTCTGGCGGTCAGCCTCGGGGATATGGCGGGGGTGGACGCCATGTCGGGACTGCCGGGGGCATCGTGGCCGCTGTTGCTGCTACTGTCACGATCGGGGCCATCGATGGAGGAGGTGTCCGCTGCGCTGGCGGAGCTGCCTTCGGTTCGTACCTTTCGGGCGGGTTTTTGATAATGGACGGGTACGGCGGAGGGAAGGAGGAGCTGCGACTGCGACTGCTGTTGTTGTTGTTGTTGTTGTTGTTGTTGTTGTTGTTGTTGTTGAAGGAGCTGGTCGGGGGGGATGGTGAATGGTTGGAAGCGGTCTCCGGTCGGGGGGCGCTCCGTGAGCACCGGAGGCATGCGGCCCATGTCCTCGTATTGGAGGCGGCCTAGAGATTTCTTGGGCATGCGCTGGCGATAGTCGCCACCCGGCGTGATGCCGTCCAAATGGAGTGAGGCGACGCTCGCGGCATGGATTCGGAGCGCCTGCTGGAGGACCTCGGTGGCCGTTGTCGCATGTTCTTCGTCCCGGTCCTTAGCCTTCACCTGCGGGCGGGTGCGGCGGGTGTTGCGCAAGGGCAGGCGGAGAGGCCGGGACCTTTTGGCAGTGTTCATGGAAGATTGTGGAACCCTACGCGGTGCATTTGACGGTGCTCAAACGCGTTGGAGAGCTGACCAGGAAGGGCTGTCCTAAAAAGGCTTAGATGCGGTACAGGTATTCGGTTGGGAATGAAGGAAGAAAGATAAGGATGAATAGTTTGAAGGTAGCAAGAAACAACAGGACATGTCCTCCAGTCAGTTGCTCGATGGCTTGAAGGACGAGGCCACAGTGCGATAAGGCCAGCAAGTCATCCAGCAAGTAGTACTCGTCGGCCGAAGCGTACGAGCCAGAGTGGCACGGTTTCCACACCTTTGCCTCGAACAAATGAGTCTGAAAGGACTTTTGGACAAGCTGGCGTTGAACGCTTGTCAAGAGTTGGAGGCTGTCTCCGTCCTCCTTTGACATCCGCGGCAGCCTTGGTGTGCTTGAGCCGCGTCCTAACGCAGTGTCCGTGGAAGGATGACGAACACACCTCCTAACCATCCCAACCATGGGCGTCTTGTGGTTGTGGACAACTCGAAGTGAAGTGAAGCAGCCCGCAACCTAACTGCCATCAACTTGATAAGTCTGCCAACCCTATATGAAAATGCTATTTGTTTAAACTGGAAACTGCAGGAAACACACTTGCATTCTCAACCTTCCGGTTGTGATACGACGCGGAGACGGCTGCTGTCGTAAAGCACGAGTTTGAACAAACACCGTTATTTCATTTTAGGCAGAGCTGCAACATAGGGATAGACTATTGTATCAGGATCCGCATTTGTGCACTTCAAATGCGCTCGCGTTAGCGAGTCCTGTTGGAAGCTTAGTGCAAGCAGCATGGCAAGAGTAGGACATTTGTGTTAGCACAGAATAGTACGCATTAATCTGTCAAATCATTTGAAGTTCTCATAATTTAAGTCCCGCATCATCTCAAAGCCAGCGAAACCGACTGGCTTCCCGAAAACCATCAATTCCTGATGTGCTAGTAGCAATTTAGATGTCTAGAATGCTTCTGCTATAGCAATGTTTCAGGTCCGGGCATGTAACCCTAACATTATGAGGGGAAATCACAGCCCGACTGTTCGGCACAGCTTGGCATGCATGTTTTTCAACTTAGCGGATGTTACCACCGATGAGGCAACCTTTAATGAGTAGAACCTGCTGTTTGATTTCACGGCACTTTGTGTTCTCGAAGGCTTCATTCTGTACCTTCCTGGAACCTGGCAGGCGCAGAATCTCTATCCACAAGCAATTATTCTAGCTGGATGCTTATCAGTAAAGCTCACCACAATGGATGAAGCATCTGTTGTCCATCGACTATACGGTGATTGGGCAGGACTGTAGCGCACATTTGCCGGGTAGTGCATACAAGTGGGAACATGTGGGTAATCTCCCAGGTCTGCTGGCCTCTATTGGACAATAATCCTTGGTAATGCCTCAACACTTATGGAAACCCGAACCCAACACCTATAGCAGATTTGTAAAGCTGGGCACAAAGGGGCGATGCATGAAAGATGCCTAAGAAACCGACCGCCTGGCCACCAGGGCCTAAAAGCACTAAAACTCGGCATCCCCCGCCCCTCGCCGCTCTTTAATTCACGAACGAACGAACTACACAACTTGAATTGGACAACAGGATGTGTGCACCAGATCACACCGCGAGGCACCAGCAAGGCACCGCACGGCTGTTGCGGTGCGGCGCAACGGGGTCTGCTGCAGCGGCCAGGTAGTGCCGAGGATTGGAGGGGGACAGCTTTTCCTAGAACGGTGTATGGTGGTCCGACAGGCGGCCTGCAACTTCTTCCCCGGCGGATGGAAGTTTGTACCCACACAGGGTGATCAATAATGGGGCCGAGAACCATCGAGAACCAGCCCCTTTTGCGCCTAGCTAGGAAGGCGCCGCTGATTAAGTACAGAGCCGGACACCTACCAGGGTGCCGCAAGGAGCACTTCAGGGCGGTCAGCAGCATCCAAACTACCGGCGGGGACTTGTGCAGAGACAGCATGGCTGAGGAGCCAGAGACGGCAGGATAGAGACCTCGTGTAGTGTCTGAGCTGGCATAATGCGACGCCCGTAAACTGCGCACCTGGGGACGCAGCGGGCCCTCCTCGCACCTCGCTCCCCAAGTCCTGGAGAGTGTTAAAGTTTTTTGGCGTTCTGCGCTTCATTGGGGCGGGGACATCCGCTCTTGCTTAGTCCCAAGACAGATAGGGTCTGACACCGGAACTGAACTCGTACGTACGCTGTGCCGTAGGATTACCGTACATCCTACCGACATGCCTGGTCTGAAATCCCTTTGCATCGGTGGACAACAAAAGTTAGAAGCACAGGCATAAAAGTACCGTTTTAACTGCAACCACCTTACTGAATTTTATGCCTATGGTTCGTTTATTCATGGACACGCGCACGCAGATAGGCTTGAGACACCGCATACCACACCGCTGCACCAGTCTAAAGGCACAGAGCCCGCTGCTCACTCGGGTCGCAGCGGGTCTCATCGCTTTGTTCGCCTGCGCCCGCAGCCAGCTAACATCTGCCGCAACGACCCTTGAGTCGCAATACCTTCACGGCAGGCAGGCTGTGACGCTGACGGCAAAGGCACAACGATTATATACATATGACAGGATATGAAACGGTATGTGGAAAATATAATTGACACCTACAGCGACATTAGAATTAGAGTACAGGGAAAAGCAGCAGCAACGTCAGCAGCAACGACAGCAACACCAGCAGCAACACCAGCAGCAACAGCAACAATGTGTGCGACAAGGAGTGAGATAATAAGGACCGCCAGATAAATAGCAGACAGCTTGGTCTCGTCATCCCCTCGAAATCGGCTTTCTGCAACGATCTATGTTGTTACACTCTTCATCCCCAGAGGGGAAATGAACATTGCCGCCATGGTCGAGACGAGGAGGATCACCGAAGCAGACTGCAAGCATCACAATGGCTCAGCAGTCCACCACCACGACCAACTCAATAAGGGTACCTTCTCTCCTTACCACCCACGGCCTCTACCCCGCGCCAGCCGCCCCAGAACCGTCATCCGAAACCACTCCGCTGCGTAACTGCAGAAAACCTTGCCTTGCTTAGATATAATACGTTTTGTGTGCCTCTCGCTCAAGAAAGCACGGGAGCGGGACGAAAAAGTCCATCTCTCAAGGGCGCCCTCTTAAAAACGCTCCCCACCTGACCTACATTGCAAAATCTTCGCACAGCTTCAGAAAGCGGCTACGCGACTGGCCGGACGGTGGTTCCTGGCCTTCTGGCGAGCGGGCTCTGGGGGGCTGTCCTGTAGCCCCCGCCATCACCCATGCCGACGCCGCCTGTCCGCCAGGCCGAGCTGGGGCGTACAGCAGCGGTGGCGGCGGCGGTGGGGGAAGAGGGGGAAGACGAGGACTCGGCCGTCACAATTTTGGAAACGTCGAGCTTGGGCAGCCCACTCGGCCTTAGGGCTGGGGAGCGCATCTGAACGACCTGTGTCGGGATTGGAGGCGTGTCAGGAAAAGTACGACAAAGACCCAGTTGAGGGCGGGTCACGGGCCCCCAGCGGCGGGAGGGTGGAAGGTGGGAGGGTGTGGGGTGGGACGGAGTGAGGCTGGGCGGGGCTGGGAGAGTAGCGCGGGGAGGGAAGAAAGGGAAGGGGATCTTCGCGTTCGCCGTGGACACGGCTGGAAAACCTCTGGAAAACCTCTTCCCTCTCACCTGAACCTTCAGGCGAATCCCCTCAACAGCTTGATTTTTTCCCCCGTGGGCAACGAACAGGCAGGAACACGGCAGAGACGGGGTAAGGGAAATCGCGCTGTTACCGCACAACCGAATGGTTACTGTCATCCTGGTGGCCAACCGCCAACGGCCAAGTTACCCTAACATGCAGCGAAAGTTGTACCTACCCGCCACCAGCGCATCCCCGCGCGTTCTGCAGGGGCATGTTAGGGTTATACTCATGAGCTCGTGAGCCTTCATCCCACAGCCCCAGACCCGCACCCCCAAATCCATTCCTCCACGCGCCCAAATGCCGCACCTCCAAGTCGCTAGTGCTGCTCATACGCCGTGGTAATTTGTCAGACCTGGACCTTTGCTGCTCCATCCGTGGAGACAAGGCCTGAGCACCCAACCCTCCCCATCCTCCTCCCCGTCCTCCTCCACCGCCTCCAGAGGCCCTCATCAAACTGTGCACGGCTGGCTCATGACTGACTCGGCGGTCCTCTGATGCCATTCCGCTGGGGGGCCTCCTTCCTATCTGTGCGCCTTGGACTAGCGGACGACGCTGCGGGGATGTAGGCACGGAGACCGCGGCAGGCGCCGGTGCGGCCTGTAACATGTCGCCGTTCCGCATTTCAAGCGGCACGCCGGTGAGGGCCTGGAATAAGTTGGCAGTGGGTCCAGGGGAGACAGGACGAGAGCCCAAGCTGGCGGTGCCAGTACCAGCAGGGCTACCGAGCCGGCTGTTCATGGGCCTGAAGGGTATCGGGGCGGCGCAGGTGCTTTGGCTAGGGCTAGGGCTGCGGCTGGTGCTGGTGCTGGTGGTAAGCTGACTGTCCGCAGTGAGTGGCCGGTGATCCAATGGCAGATCCGCAGCCGTCAGGAAGAAGTTTAATGTACGGACGCCATGGACTCGCATGCCGGCACCGCCGGTGGCGCCAGCGGCTCTGCCGACGCGTCGCATGTCGATGCCGGCACCGTTGTAGCAACTGCCGGCACCGCAATAGGTGCCGGCACCCTCGGTCGCGTCTTCGTCTTCGACATCATCGCTCAGGTTGCCGCTAATGTCATAATCGTCATCGTCACTGTCGCTTGCTCCGCTAATGCTGTTGTCATCGTTGTCGGTGTCGTTGTCGTTGATGTAATATTGGCTATCGCCTTCATTGCGAATGTGATTCTGGTTGTTGCTTTGGACGGCGCCATTGACGCTTCTGCCAACCCTGCTGCTGAGGTAATTACCATCAGCAGTGTCGTCAGCACTTTTGTCTGCCCTGCTAACGCGGACAGAGGCAACACTGCCAGCGCGCGATGCCGTTGTGGGTCGAAATCTCGGCTCTGAGCACGGCCTGGAGGAAGGACGCAACGGGCCGCGAGAGGGTGTCTGCAGGGGGCTGGCGAGCGGTGTCCGAGCGCTTTGCAAGGAGCTCCTCCCGCTGCCACCGCCAGCAAGGCCACCAACGCCATTACCGTCGTCACTGCCGCCGCTGCCGTCAACGCCATTGACGCGGCTAGCACGATTGCTGGTCGCGCCAGCGACGTCCACGTCAACATGCCTGCCGTACAACCAGCGTTCCGCTGTGCGTGCAAGATGCCTCGGCGTCGGCCATGCGGCATGGCCCTGATCTAGCATCGCCGTTGCGATCAACGCACCGCCGTCGCTGCGGCCGCCCGTGCCAAGCAGGGCAGGGTGGCCATTAATTGAATGGGGCCTCAAGTTGCGGGAACAACGAGTCTGTTCCCTGGCGTCGTCGTCGGCGATGGCGACGCCGGGGGAGCTGAAGCGCGCTTGGGGCGGCCTCGCAAGGGACTGTGCAGCCAAGTCGGTGATGCAGCTCTGTACAAAGGCATCCGTCAAAATGGGTTCCGTAGGACCCATTGCGGCGGGCTGTAGCGGCTGGGAGGGCGTTGCCGTACGCGAGCCAGATCCCTTTGCGAAACGCAGTCTGAAGTCGGGTCCCGGCATAGGGCCCGCTTGATGTTGGCGTGAGGCTTCCTGAGCGCGGGCGCGGGTGCGGGACATGGAGAAGCGGTACAGCTGCCGTAGCTGACGCATCATGTTGTCCACTTGACGGCTTTCGGGTGTACGGGAACTCATCACAGATGCGCCGGAAGGTGCGCCCATCCGTGACTTGGATTTGGACCTGGATCTGGACCTGGATCTGGATTTCGGCCGGGGCCCCCAATCCGCTTCGGATGTGGCGTCGCCCTTGCTCACCCTTGTTGAAGACGAGGCCATTGAAGCCGACGCTGATCGTGTGGATATCGACAGCGTCGAAACCGACGATGCCCGTTCGCCGCCGGCGCCGGTCCTTGATGTCTGAAGCTCTGCTCCCAAGCTAATACTGACATGCCTTTCGGTAGCTGCGGTGGAGGGTCGTACAGGCAATGCGGGCGTGGCATCAGTGCCGCCGCCGGCATTGTCGCCGCCGCTGCCGCTGCCAATGAAGCACGACTTCCTGATCGATTTCCGGGGTGACCTTGGGACAGCAGCGGTGTCGGTGGCAGCCGTGGCGTCTGCAGTGGTAACGCCAAGGGAGTCCTTGGTGCTGGGGCGGTGCAGGTTCATTGTGAGGCGTGTGGTGCTCGCGCGTGGGGTGACAGGTGCACTGACGGAGACGCGGCTTGGGCGGAGCCCGTCGGACGAGGTAACGATTTCCTCCAAGTCCTCGAGTATCATGTCTGTTGTGCGGTAATCCTCTGCCTGCAGTCGAACCATGCTTTTGTCGAGTTTCGCTCGCAAGGCTTGAATATCCTCGACGTGTGCATATTCCTTCATGCTGCGCCCATGCGAATCGATGGCCTGTCAAATTGAGTTTGGCGAAAGCAGACAAGAAGGGATTTAATGTGGTTCTAGTGGTGAGCGAGTGAGAGCGCTCCGTCGCGGCGCTTATCCGCTGACCGAGGCAAGATGCCCAAACCGACAATGTGTCCCGACAGCTTCTAAGTGACAGAACATTTACAAGATCACTAACCTCATGAAGGACGTAGTCAGGTGTTGAAATCAGAGGGTCCCCGGTCACGGCCTTCGCTTTGACCTGCATACTCGGCGAAGGTAGGAGGCCCTGAGTCGTACGTCCTGGAATTCATTACATTTCAGATAATAAGCGCTCTGCTGTATTCGCGTATTCTCATTACTAACGGGGTAAAATTCTTCATTGAACAACCCGCGAGGGCATGCAGGTAAAACCGAAACCTAAAGTCCACTATAGAGCTAACATCCAGGTAATAATTGTAATAATTAAAACGTCTTCTTTGCCTTACTCTGAAGGAAATTCCAAGGGAAAAGCAATTGTCCACCGATAGTACCCACCTACCCATTCGCTTGGCCATACCTTATGCTTGAATGCAGTAGTGGAAAATGGCTTTAGGATTAACATGCGGATTGGATTGCTTGAAGCTCCAGAGGCTTCGGCTTCCATTACAAGGGGGTCGTTCAGAATGGCTTGAGGGTCCATGTTGGTTTTGAAGCCTTACCCAAATGAATTAGAGCTGGAGTAAAATTAAAATAGTAGAAATAAAATCCTTTTTGATCTGTGACAACCGAAGGGGTACAAACAAAGCGACCATAATTCACAGCACTCTGCCTTTAAAAGGTTACATTTTTCAAGGTGAGGGCTATTTTCCCAGATAATGTGTAGACACAGGAAAAATGGTTCGAAGATGTACGACGGGCAGGAATCATGGGACTACATTTTGGAGTTTGGATAGCCCGATAATAAGGGAGAGACTTTCGATGTTACAGGCGACTGCTTGTTAGTTCTAGGGAATGTGTACTTTGTGCACCATCGCCTCACGCTCGTGCCTAATGTGTGTGTGGTTGTTACAGTGGGCTCCAGACTCCCGAAGAGTAGAGCCATCGGGCCAGCTGGCCGTGCACTGCAGTAGAGACTAATATACCAAAAGATTATCATCTCAGATAATTAACCTCTCATCGGTAACCGCTCTCGCGAACAAATCAATTTGCCAGATATAATCCTCAAAAAGGGGTGATGTGCGCCAACGGATTCCCAACCTTTTCGTGGAATTCCTAAAGCTGCGAAACCCTGAATGCGGCCCCAAAAATCAACAATAACTCGACAAATTGCTTCTTCCGTAAGGGAAGGACCAGGTAACAGTGCCGGGTTGGTTTTCATGTTTGCAGCCATATAACGTCTCCCATGCTCCATGGCTGACACCGCAGCAAGAGCCACAACATCCCAAACACATTGTTGCACTGATTGTGGGGCTTGGATAAGCCAAAGTTGCTCCCTTGAGACTGGCAATCCTATTGAAAGAGTAATTTGATCTGCTATGCCTAATGTGTTGGTTAACATAACTCCATAAATGCGTATTTCAAGAGGCTACGTGTAAACAACTTTCCGGTTTCCCCCTTCTGCTACGGTTGATCGAGGCTTCACCTATACGAGACGTTTTCTATCCAATGGCATCGAGTCGGTGAAGCTCACACAGCGCCAGTCGACAATATTAGACCCTTATGCCGATCCACTCTGATTCTTTTTGTGGTCATGTCGTATTTGCTGTCGGCAGGCCCGCAGAGGTACACGTACCCATCGCGGCAAATAAACGGACGCCAGAGTACATGCCGTAATAAAAAAAGCCCTCCACACGGCCTCACCTCCTACTCCTCCTCTAGGTCAGTGCCGCTCGAAGCGCTACAAGGCTACACCTTGAGGAATGTCCTGACGACCTGCGTGGATCCTCAAAAGCTCACTATTGCTGCATCCTCAGCATTCCCAACACATCATCACCGTCAGCACACCACGCCTCTCTCCGCCCAACTCTTAAACCCGCTCAAACTCCACTTTTTCACTGTTACTGCACATTCTCACAGGACCGGTAGTCCAACCCGAATCTGAACCAAGCGGATCCTCTCCACCCACCCCAGACCATTAGGTACTGACGTAGGGACAACAAAATCCAAAACGACGCTGCAGTACACCCACCAATACACCCGCCACACATAAGCAATCCACCATTTATACAAACATGAGCAGCCTCCGCAGCCTCCGCCTCTGCCACCACCGCCGTCTGTCTTGCCAACTACAGAAAGGGGTTCCTCAGCCCCACAGCCCCCGCCAGCTCCCGCAGCCCCCGCACCGTGCTCCGTGCCGCCGCAATGTGCGGCTCGTCGGGCTCCACATCCAGGATCTGTGCGGGCTGGCCCCCTCCCCCCAGCCGGCTCATGACTAGGTTGGCTGCGGAGAGGCCGGTGACGTAGGCACGCTCCTGGGACAGCCCGTTGGCGCCGTGGGGAACACCCTTTACCCAGTCACCTGCATGCATGTACATGTATGTATGTATGTATGCATGTGTGTGCGTGAATGAGCAAGGGTGCGGAAAGGTAAATGGAGAGGGTAATGGAAGCCAGAGGAGGTGCTGGTTTCAACCAAATCAGATGGTTTCAACCAACCCTATTCGGGTAGAACGACCCAATAACCGTGACTGCCACTTCTACCTGTGACTAACTACTCAACAACTAACTAATCAACACAGAACTATCTGAGTAGCTCCACCTCAACCCATGAACACTCTGAAATGGGCCCGGAAGGGGAAGCCAAGGAGTAGGTAGGGGAGGTTTCGAATAAGCTGTTGGAATGGCGGCCCCCGCCCTCTCTTTCGTCTTCTCCATCTCCCCCTTCCGCCCCCCTTCGTCAGGCACTCCGCCGGTCCCTGCCGGTCCTGTGTGTTGTCTTCTTCCCTTGTTTGACAACCTCTGCCACTTCCCCACCCACATCCCCACCCGCGCCCACCGGCCATGAAGACGTTTGGAATAGAAGTTGCTTGGAAGGGACGGTGCTGGTAGGAGCCGGGGCTGAAGTGGGTGACTGCTCGGGCGAAGCGGAGCACGATGCTGTCAACCACCTTGGCACCTAGGTGGTCGAGGGGCAGAAGGTGTGAGTGGGTAGGGGGGCCTTAAAAGGGGAGAAATAATGCCGGAGGACGTGGCCGGGGCGTGTATTCCCTTGCTATTTCCCTTTCCGTTTTTACCCATCCCTTCCCCTTCCCCTGCCTTGCTGAGCACGAACTGTAGAGCCAATCGGCACCACCCAATCCGTACATTCCGGAGGAAACTGATCTCCTTCCGGCCCGTTCCCCTCCCCCCCATGTGACGACAAAATCAAGGTCCAACTGTCGTACAATATGCACGAATTGCTTGTGTCCTTTTAGATCAGGTTCTTACGGGCGTTGCTCAGTGCATCGGCCTTAGTGTTATTGCTCTACAAAAGAAAAGAAAGCTCGCGCGCCCCGCTTCCGACCCCTACCCTCCCCTTCCCTTCCTTTCCCTTCCCTCTTCATGTTCTCCTCCCAGGACTTACTTTCCCCCTTTGAGTCCTCTTTTCCCTGTAAGAGGACCCGTAGCAAGGGAAGATCAACCCGCTCTCCCATTTCTAATGTCTGCTGCCTTCACCCTTCACCCGCTAAGCCGCACGCACCCTTAAAACCCGGTTCGCAAGTGGCCACGTGAGACACCACCCGCTCCACAATCTCCTGGTCGCTTAGAGGCAGAAGGCTGTTGGCATGATAGAAATCCGCTGAAATGACGGTGCCAGGCTCATCGCGGTACTCGTCCTGCAGTCCGCGAGTTGGGTTTAGGTTTTATTCCATCCATCCATGCATCCATGTTTGTACAGGTGTCAAGGATCTTAGGTCCACCTCTTATCCAACATGATAAGGTTTATAATGTAAAATATTCGTGCAGCAACTTGACGTGGTGAGCGATGCTCCTTCATTTAAGACAAACACTCACCCCACCTGCAGATCGTTTAGGTTGAAAAAAGTGGCTCCCGCCGTGGATTCGAACCCGGACAAGACATTAGCTGGGTATCGGGTGGGTACTCGACGGTCAAACCAAATGCGTGTAGCAATAACATCCAAAGATCGAAGCTCCATGATGTTGCGAAAGTCAGGCTGCCAGTCCAGTAAGAAGTAGAGGATCCATGGGAACGGGGGGAGCATTAGGGCTATGAGGCCGTTGTTGGGGTAGTTGTGGGGTATGCGGGACATGGGCGAGGCGGCAGGAAAAGACGGTTTCGGAGGAGCGGTGTACAACTGTGTTGCGGAGGTCTGTGGGGTTGAAGAGGCAGGCCGAGAGGCGAGAAAGGGCGATTGTGCCGGGGTGCGCACGCACTGGACCTCTGATACACACACGTGCGCACGCACCCTATTTTCCAATTAAGTACAAACCGATTGATGGATGGATTGTCTCGGGGCTTCTTAATTTCCCCTTTTTTCACTTCCTGCCAAGATGCGGCCCGGAGAGCCCTCTCCCTCCAGCCTCACACAACAAGATGCCGGTTAGGCCAGCAGTCCCTGGCAATGAAGCCGTCTGTCTGTCTGTCTGTCCGTCTGTTCTGTCTGCCTGCCTGGTTGTCTGTGTGTATTTGTCTGTTCCAGTCAATTACCTGTTTTGCTAGTGCGGGGGTGGCTGACACGAGCTTCTGCATTCCGCTGATGCCCACCGCGAATACAACCGCATCAGCAGGGTAGCTGGCAGCCTCACCTGCAGCCACACACACACATACATTTACATCTGTTACGGCACTGATAGCCATATTGAAGATGAGAAGCACATTTTGCTGGACTGTCTGGTGTACGACAAAATCAGATCTGGTATGGATTTTCCACGCTTTGAGTATATGAAGGACGCCATGAAATGGGAACCTGAACGTCTGGCGAAGATGCTGGAACGTATATGGTCCCGCGGCAACTCTATCGTTCCCTTTGGTCGTTAGTCTCCTTTATCATTTGCTTTGTCTGAAGTGCGAGGTAGGATGGTGCTTATAGAGGCGATCTGGCAGCCCTTGAGCCCTCGGCTCGTATGGGCGCCTTGCAGGTACGGGGAACGCACCCCACGACCATGTAACGCACACATACATACGCACATCTGCATGCCAGCATGCGATTGTGTACATCTGTCATCTGTAAGTGTGCGCGTAAAGGTACGTGAAGACTCGACATGCTACGGTACACTTCGCCAAGGTATGGCATAAGATGGGCGCACGCGCGGCGGCGGTGAGAGAGGGTGTAGACGTGAGCGGCACTCCATGAACGCCACCACCCACGGCCCGCTTTGAGCTTCTACGCGTCATAAATAAAACCCTGAATCCCCAAAAAGTATCTTAAGTCAATGCACGCGCGAATGCACACTTCCCGTTTCATCTTCATCTTTATCTTCATCAACCACACAACCCAGCAACCACGCCATTCTCCCGGGGCTCCCGAGTCCCCCTGAATCCTCCTGAAACCCACCCAACCGCCCACCGACACATCCACACACTCACCCGTGCTCCTGTCCAGCGCTTCCACCGATGTGACCTCCCCCGTGAGCGGGTCCACTGATAGCCCCGTCACCAGCCGACTGCCCAACACTCGACCGCCTTAAGGTAGGCAGGGAGGGGAAGGTGGGAGAAGGAAAGGGGCGGGAGGGAAAGATGGGGGAGGGTAAGAGAGGGAAGGGTAGGGGAAAAGGGGAGATAAGAACTTATCATGAGCGGAGGGGGGGAGAGGGGTTCGTTATGGAAGAGTGAGCATAACTGGATGCAAACACCAGCTGCTGTTGACTAGGTATCAGAAGAAGCGATAGAGGAGGGAGTCGGGGGGTTTATGTATGTGTTAGGTACGAAGAGGAAAAAATGTACTTCAGACCAGCACCAAATGTAATGCAGAACAAAAAGTCCCCTAGGTCTCCAGGGATGGCATCCAATTGGGAAAACGGAATTTCAGACACACTTGACGAATCCGGAGACTTCTTTATGGTGCTGCCTTAGTGCCCCCGGTGGGTAGAGCACGTCAAAGGAAGAAACCTCCTCAACGAGTGTGTGTGTGAGGGGGGGGAGGGGAGGAGAAAGAGAGAAGAGATGGATGGCAGCTGGTTTCAGGTTTTCCCCCTCCTTAAGAAATAGAAGGCGGCCAAGGCAATCACGAGGTTATGGCGAAAGAGCGGAGCATCAATCCGACCCTTCTCCAGCTGGCCCATCCCCCCTCCTCTTCCATCTGTCTCCCCCCCCGCAACCCCTCCTGTTGCTCCCTCGTGCTGATAAAACCCACCGGCAGTCCTGATCCGCTCCACCATGGGCTGGAAAATGAGCTCCGCAATGGAGCCCCGTGGCCAACACACGTCAAAGTCGTTTTGGTGGGCCAGAGCGTAGAAGTACAGAGTCTCAAGTACGGCAGCGGCACTCAGATCCTGATAAGGGGACCGGAGAGCGGTGTGCGGAGGGCAGGGTGGGGGCTGAGCAGAGAGGCGCGGGATGAAGATGGGAAGGGGGAGAGGGACGGCAAGGCCAAAGGAGCAAAGCCTGGAGATGGCGATATACACCTGACTTGGCTAGGCCTTGTAGGCCCCCATTGGTGTGCTGCCACCCCGCGAGCCTTCTCCCCCACTCGACTTCTTCTCCCCCCCCCCTTCCTCCCGTACGGTCTGCTCGGTGCTTTTTGAAGCTGGTTTGAATCCGGCGCTATGGCATAGTTGAATATGGTGATAGATGATTTGAGCTGTTGTGCATAACAAACAGGTAGACAGACAGAAAGGCAGACAGACAGACATCCCCTACTATTACCTCAGTACCACATCCCTCGCATCACCACCAATCACGGCCATTATCTCCTTGCTGTAGACGCCGTACAAATGTCGTACTACTTCCCTCCTCGGTCCTCACCTCAGGTGGTGCGAACAAACCGACCAACAAAGTGGGTCTCAGAAATTCGTTGTAGCAGCGGCTGCTGACACCACAACGACGGAACAGCTCATATGCGCTCATCTTGTCGTACTGTTCGTACCGCTCCTCACTGCGTATGGGTTGGACCACGTGTATACGACATATGTATGTGGATGCATGAACCCCCGAGGGCCGTGGATCAAAAGAAAGTTGAGTTGGGAGTTGGGGGTTAGTTGGTAGTTAGTGAGCTCTGGTTAGCCGTTTTCTATTCAAGGACCCCGCGGATGACTATCGCTGGTGGCGGCGATGATGTATCACCACTGATATGCGGTACCCGTACGGCACGTAAAACGCTCAGTACAGGCCGTACCTGGACACGTAATCCGCCAGCGTTGCGAGGAAGGGCAGCATTGTCAGACGGTCCTCCAATGGGAGGGCCCAGTACAGCGGAAAGGTGTGTACGAACTGAAAGGGAGGGACGATGGGCCGGGGTTGGGGTGGGGGAGAAGATGAAGACCGGGGAGCCGAAGATTCAAAGGATGCATTATCATACACAATATTTTACACGGCTTGCGTGACATACGTAAGAGACATAACGATGGCACAAACACGCGTGCAGTACCAAACGCTGCCACATCCACCGGGGGTTTTCCTTCGCTAAGCAGGACTAAGCTGCATACAGTACGACATTGCAGAGAAACTGCAGCAACCGTCCTTGCCGTACCTGACCCACGAGTGTGGGCAGCCGCGGCAGCTTGCTGAAGACGGGGGCCTCTGTCACCAGTCCGCGGGGGTTCCAGAACCCCGAGGTAGTGAAGTCGGTCAGGGGCCAGGAGGGCAGCTGCAGCTCCTCTAGCAGCTTGAACGTGTTCTTGTACTGGTGGTTGAGGGCGGTTGGGGGGCCAATGGGGCGAATGAAGCGGGATTTCAATAAGGGCGCGACGGATGAGAGGGTTGGGAATGGGCAGCGTGTGGAAGGAAGGGCCTTGCATTTAGGCGTTGACGACGGAAAGTGGGAGAGGAGGGGTAAGGAGGGGAGTTCTGGATTCACTCACATAAACTAATCCTCATGCACTTCCCTGTCCCCGATATTCACCTACCTGCCTGACGTACCTCCTTTCCTGCGCTCCCCCCCTTTTCACGCCCTACCTCCATGATCTAGACACCTTTCTCTCCCCCGCTAAATCAACATTCTGAAGCCTAAACATCTCTTACGGCGCTGGCTATGACCACCCACCCACCCACAACCCTTGACTTCCTCACCCTCCACTTCCTCCTCCCCCCTCCCCCCTCAAAAACCACCCTCCATGCCCCACTCCCCAGGCCCCCATCCTCCAAACGCGGTAACTTGCCTGGTACCAGAATCCCTTCATGCCCGCTTCCACCGCTCTCCCGCTGGCTGTCCTCCATCCGCTGGACAGACCTCCCGGGTTGGGACTGGCCTCCAGCAGGGTGACGTCATAGCCCTGCTCCGATAGGTGCTTGGCGGCTCCGAAACCTAGGGAATTTTAAGACGGGAGGGCTGTATTGGGGGCTCGCTGTTTGGAGCTCGGGGACGCTTGGGGAGGCGATTTTGCGACTCCCAACGTGGCCATGAGACAGTCGAGTCCCAAGAGATATGACACGGTACGGCAGCAGCATGATGATTCGTCTGGACGAGAGGTTAAACCCACGACATGCCGTACCACCATGTCCGGCTTCCTCCTACCTGCCCAGCCGCCGCCGACAATGACCACACGCCGACCCTCAGCACCCCCCGACGGGACACTGCTGCCGCCGCCATTCCCGCCAGCGTATTTGTCGGCAGTATCACCATTATACGCCACCGCTGCGACCGGTCGTACAGTCACTGCCCGTCGGCTCCACGGCCGCCGGGTCCCAGGCCTAGTAGTATCTGCGGCTGCGGCGCCACATGCGGATGCCGGCAGCGGTGACTGCGACGGCGCCACCCCGGCAACCACTACTCCGGTGTTGCAGGTGGTCGTGGCGTTTCGGGGACCCCTCAGTATGCAGCGGCGGAACGGGGCGGCGGCGGCGGCGGCGGCGGCGGTGGCGGAGGCCGCACTTAGCGTGTCAGCACCACCGCATGGAAGCCTGAGGGCCAGAGTGGGTGATTGGGACTCTATGGCGACAGGCGGCGATGGAAGTTTGGACCTCAGCATCTTGAGCTACAGTGTAGGCCCAACACCTGGCATATTGCTATTGCACTACGTATTGCACTACGTGGCAAGATCAGGATAATGAGCGGGTTTGGCACTGCTCTGGGCCACTTCGCCGGCCGGACCTTTGGCCAAGGCATGATAAGCCGTGTGCGTGGTGGGCGATCCGAAGGATAAGGGAAGTGCCGGGAAGTACCTGCCCACCATGCGTATAGATGAAATGTTTGTTCTTCCTAAAGAAAGATGCATACGACATGCACGGCTGTTGTAAGTGCTCAGAAGGCAGCGCGGACCGACTTGCCTGTTGAGCAACACCATCAGGACCCGGGTGCCTTGCCTGACACAAACTACGCAAGAACTGCAACGAAATAGATGACTTAAATAATATGGTTAACTTAATTTATGTCTGTCCGCTGTGCGGCAAGTCAACTGCCGGGCGCAACACTACCACGTCAACTGGCTGGACCAATCGCAAAATACTGCCTAAGGGTCTAGTGGGTACGATGTACCTAGCAATCAGAAAAATAATGGAACGCTTCTAGGATCTGAGAGGTATAGGTGGTAGGGCCTGCTTGCTTCTGTCGCCACACACTTGCGAGGCCGTATATAACCGCAACAACGTACAGACCAGGTTCAGACCTTTAGGCCACATTTGCATGCATACAAGCGTTTGAACTTATATATTGATCGTAGTTATAAGCTGTGTTAACTGCGATCAGCAGTGCCCTTTTCATAAGCTAGTCATGCATCTTTGGCTTGCACAACCACAAGCAAAGGTGCCCCTGGACACATCCACAACAACTTCCACTTCTTACAGGATCTCTCACAGATACATCTACGGTGGTCAGGTCGGGTCCACGCAACGCTGCAATCTTGTGCATGGCAGTGCGTCAAGGAGGCCTCAAGTGCTTGCCATGTCCCAAGCAGCCCAACAATCTTTCGACGCAAACTCCTACAATGCGGAAAGGTTGTGCTTAGATGAGCAGGTATGGTACAACGGGAGGTAAAGGTGCAACGATACCCTCCAACGGTTCGCCGTACGGTAGTTTGCGTAAGCGTCCACAGCTCCACGCCCTATAACCTGCATTTCACACCCGCACAATGCAACTCCTCCTCTGTAACTTTTACCACCCCGTCCGCATTTATCACGTCAGGCACGCGACGGCATGCGCGCGCAGTTGGCCCGAGATGAAGCGGCTGAGCAGCGCCTACCTGGCAGTGTGGCGGGCGCCTGGAAATGGGCCTTACGTAAGAAAATTTGGGACTACATGGAGGCCAATGACATTGCCAGGCGAGTGCGCGGTTGTGGTAATTGTGATGGTCATGATGGTTGGAAAACGGTTGGTGTGGTAGCGCTTGAGGTGTAAGGAATCTGCTGTGCGGAGTTGGTGTGGATATGGGTTTACGTTTTTCCACACTTGGAAGGTGCCAGGTAATGCCAAACGCTGGTCGGGTGTGCTCGTGGGGCCACAGGAAATAGCTTTCAGGGCTGCCCTACCTTCCCTCCTTCCCTTCTTCCCGTCTTCCTTACCCGGGGCCACTCTTGTTCACTTTTCCCAGCAAACCCATGGAAGCCTCCTTCTGGTGATCAGTGGCAACACAGTTCGCAACAGCCCATCCATGAACCTCACGGCCCAGACTCCGGTCTTCTCCGCGCCCAACATACCTCGCGCCACGTACGCACATCTTCCCCTGTACCATCTTCGCCAGTTCGTTGAGGCACAATCCCCCGGAGCCCTACATTCAACCCTTTACCCAACCCACCCTATCGTACTTGCATACATACATACATACATACATACATACATACATACATACATACATACATACATACATACATACATACATACATACATACATACATACATACATACATACATACATACATACATACATACATACATACATACATACATACATACATACATACATACATACATACATACATACATACATACATACATACATACATACATACATACATACATACATACATACATACATACATACATACATGGCTGACCAGGAACTAAGTTAAGGCGCCGTTGATCCGCTAGACTTGGTTGGATGCTGGTGGTGAGTTGCTGAACCCAACGAATACATTCTGAAGTCGGATGGGGTGACTGGATTAGGGTGCCCCTCTCGCAGGGGAGAGCAGGGAACTGCCTCGGGAAAGGGGGCCGCTGGCGAAGCTATACCACCCTGTAACATCATACATACATACATACGCACGCTCTCCCCCGCAGGTTCCCTCGCCCGGTGCACCACCGCATTCCCAACTTCGTCAACGCGGACCTCGCCGCCCAGCGCCTGGCGGACCTGCCAGAATTCAAATCCGCTCTGGTGGTGAAAGTTAACCCGGACACGCCGCAAAAAATGGTGCGGAAAGCTGGAACGGAAAAGGAAGGAAAAGAGCGGAGAGTTTTCGTGGGCTGGTGCTGTCCGGGCCGGACGTAATGAGGATGTGGACCGGCAGTGTATCCGTCTTTTGCATGATGCTGCACACATATATACACACACATATATACACACATATACACTCACATATACACACATATACACACACATATACACTCACATATACACACACATACACACATACACACATACACACACACACACTCCACCCGCACTCGCACCCCGCACCCAGCTCATGTTCTACGTAGCCACAGACCCCAAACACTCCCCCGGCAAAGACCCACCTACACACCCACAAAAACCAGCGGCCTGCATCCCGGGTTGCGTCCTCCTATGCCCTATCCTGCTTTGCCCTACCCTTGACCCGCGGCCTTATGGACTATCTGTCCCCGCCCCCCTCCTTGTACTCCTCTAACCACCGCCATCACCATCACCATCACATCCACTAGGTCAGGCAGCTGGTTCTGATCCGGAACAAGACACTGCTCACTCCCCAGCCGCGGCTGCGCACCGGCTTCTTCAGCCGCCTAAGCCGCAGCAGTTTCCCCCCGGAAGATCTGAATGAGGCGTGCACCAGCGCAGGTGGTACTGGGCTGGAGTGGAGTGGAGTGGAGTGGGGTGATGGGAATGGGGAGTGGGGTGGGCCCAAAGATGCGGTACAGAGGGCTGGGCGTTGGAGTGTGGCCGAGGGGCAGGCTGGTTGGGTGTTGAGAGCTGCAGTGGATGGAGAGCGCTGTGTGATGATGGGGTGCAGTGTAATACAGCGCAATACAGTGCAATGCCGCCGATTCTATATTCGCCGGCCGGATCTCTGAGTGCACGGCATGACTCGTCATGGCGCTCTGTCATAGCTCGCTGGCGTACGTCATGATGAAGGTTTTTGCTACGCTGGGGGGCCCCCCCACACCGCCGCCGCAGCCACTGCCGCCACTCGCAGCTTATTTCCACATGGTACATGTACACTGAGCATCCTGCGTATGTGCGGTATGTGTGTACAGCAAGTTTGTCGCTCCGTATCCCGTATCCCACATTTCAGGGTTTGACTTCCCGGCCTATACGCAGGTGTTGCCAAGTACGGCGAGCCTCTGTCGCTGGATACGAAGATTAAGGTAGGGCGGGGTGGCGATAATTTTACTGCTGGTATGGCGAGTACAGCGAAGGCGGCGGCGGTATATTGGGAAGGGAAGTGGGAGCAGCCGTGCTATGGGTGCGGAACCAAGGGGTCCATACAAGGGGTCGAGTAAAAATGATATTCTGAAACATTTAGGCATGTCGCAGTGGACCTGAAATGATTGCTGAAGGTGCATGCCGTATACCATCGGCGACGGGACGTGTGGGCCCCCCCCTTCTAACGGCGTTTACATCATCCAATGCTGACATGTCACGGACCGTACGGCCGCCTTCCTCCTCTCCCCTTGTTCCCCTCCCCCTCGCGCTCTGCTCAGGTGGACCTCATAGTGGTGGGAAGTTCGTGCGTGGACCCAGCAAGTGGGGCGAGACTTGGCAAGGGCGAGGTGGGCTGAGGGACGGTGGACCATGTGCGCGGTAGTACTTCTGTGTGTATGCCTGTATGCATGTGTGCTGTATGTATGTATGTGTGTATCATCTGACGAGGGCTAACACTGTCCAGGGGCAGTCACCGAACCTGTCCCTGTGTGTTTTACTGATCTGAGCTGTGTGTGTTTTTACGTGTTTTACGGTATTTAAATCCGACCCTGTAGGGGAAAACACACTGCATGTGCACATCCAGTCTGCTTGCCGGGTGCTTGCGGCTAGGTGTTGAATGATCCCACAGCCGCTCTTGGTGTTTTGCTGTTGCCGCTGTGACTACTACGTGACTACTGCTGCTACTGGTAATGCTGCAGGGTTTTGCGGAGCTTGAGTACGGCATTCTGCGCTGGATGGGCGCCATTGATGAGAGCACTCTGGTGGTGAGCACGGTACATGATTGTCAGGTGAGTCCTATGTATTTGGGGTTAATCGGAGGAACAGGGGACAGCTGCGGGTATGAGGAAGGGAAGGGGGAAAGGTGGTTCTTTTTCTCGTTCTCCTTGACACCGGAGATTGCACACTTGCCAGGTCGCGTCGTGCTTGGGAATCCCCTTCGTAGGCAGCAGGGGCAGCACGGAAAAGTAAGGGAGCATATCGTACATGCAACGAGTCATCCTCAACACAACCACCTTTCGCGATGCTGCTGCGTGTGTACGCTTGTGTGTATGCTGCCCCCCCCGCTGCCGGTGGCCTCTCCCAGGTCCTCCCACCTGGTACAATTGACGTGAGCAAGATGTTGGAGCATGATGTGCCTGTGGACGTCATCGTGACCCCCACGCGGGTAGGGTAGGAATAGGCCGGGGTGTGATTGTGCGTGCGTGTGTTTGTGTGCTTGTGTCTATTACTACGACCCAACATACTCACGCAAACTCGAAAAGTACTTTCTCTTTTTACCGCCCGCTGCTTCTACACCTACGCCAGCTGCAGCAGTACGGTCCTCCGAAACCAATTCGCTCGTAACTGCAATTATATAATCAGATAGGCTTAGTTATCCTTGCTTCGCTTCGCATATGGTCACTTGTATTTAGCAAACCCACCTCGCTGTAGGAAATTTAAACGTTGTGTTGAGCCATCGAATGCTATGCTGCACATGACGAAGAACCGGGACTAGGGACGGAGGTCACCAAGGAGAGGCAGGCAGCCACCGGCCACCGGTGTGAATGCGTTTTCACGTACCGTATGTTGGGTTGGATGATGCATGAGTGGGAGATGCTGCGTCGACTATCTGATAGCCTCTCGCGGCCCCCACCCCACCCGCACACCCATGACTGACGCCTTTCGGTGCCGGTGTCCCCGCCCTGTCCCTACTCATCAAGGTAATTCGCACCGGCACCACGCTGTCCAAGCCGAGCGGTATCCTATGGCACAAGTTGTCCCCTCAGAAGCTGGCCCAGATCCGGGTGCTGCAGCAGCTCAAGGAGCGCATTGAGAGGGAGACAGGCACCAAGCTGCCCACAGGTTTGTCTGTTTGCCTGTCTGTGTGTGTGAGCATGAGTAGTGGGTATTTGTCTTGGTATAGACGACTACCGAGGGAGTGTTATGAAGCCCAGACACGGCAAGGCAAGGTGGGCAACGGGAGACGTTTCAACAAACGAGGGGTCTTCGTATGATGCGTGTGTGGTAAGAGTTTTCTCCACTACTTTTGATTTTTTCCTCCTCAATTGTTGCAGGGCCAGACGAGACCTTGCCGCCCTTGGCGGCACGAGGGAAGCCTCAGGGTGGCCGAGGACGAGGGAGCGGCGGCGGTGGCGGCAGTAGCAGGCGGAATGGAAGCGGCGACAGGGGGCAAGGAGGCAGCCATGGTGGCAGCCGTGATGCGGCCGCCACAAAACAGTCTGTCACAAGATAGCATCATTAAGGGAAAGTGAGGATGCAGTGATTGCGCCAGGGCACACGAATCACTTACAACCCCGGTGTATCATAGTTAGGCGCATTACATTGTTGAGGCCCGCTCACATGGAGTATGGCCATGGCCTGGGTGAGCGGCAGGGCAGGCGGTGGGCACTGGATAATTACAGGGCTAACTGGGACGAGTATGTTGCGTAGCGTCTGCTTGTCACAACTAGTGCACCGAGCAAAACGGAATATGTACGGCGCGCAGCATCATGACGTTGCTGCTTCGCTTGTTACATTGTACATGTACATGCTTGAATGCTAAACATCACAAGACCATGTAATACCACGTTTGCGCCAACAAAGAGACGGCATTGGCCGTGGGTAGAGTATAAAATGTAGGTTATTCCTACTCTCGTAGGAAATGGAAGTAGGAAATTGAAGTTGAAGTTCCGGCCAGAGTACTAGTACGGCAAGAAACCCCAGTCAACGGCTTCCCTCCTCGCTCAACGCGCGATCCCAAAAGTTGAACAGGGTGGCTTCAACGTTCTCATTTGTTTGTCTGTTAGAGAAAGAAAGCCAGCACACGGCAAACACCTGCCCGCCTCTTCCACACCTACCACCCACATAAGCAACTAGCATTTCCCACGAACCGCCTTGCTTAAGGTTGGCGCATGTTATAGCGCACGTTGCAGAACCAGGAAGGAGGACTGGATACCCGGTGCCCTGCCTTGAAGTCAGAAGTCACTGGATAATGACCAGCTGTATAGCCACCGCACCACCTTGGCTAAAGTAATCGCACATGCCACCGCGGAAGGGGCGGAACACGGCTTGCTAGGGGGCCCCCACCCGCGCGACACCAACATTTGCCGCCACTGGGTGATGAGATGGATACAGCTTGTCCAGATACCACATGCCTCGCGATCGGCATGAGGGAGGCCTCTAGAAACGTTTTTTGTGGCTTTTATTCTTTAGGAATGCTCGCAAAGATCCAGCACGGTGAAGGCCGACAGAGTCAAGTACTGAAAAGCGGCTTCAAGGGGTGAAAGACCCTGCAACAGCCAGACAACCGCGCGGCGCTTTGGAGGGGGCACATCCGCGGTATTAATCGCTGAAAAGACTTATGGATATATGTATAAACAGGCGCGCAAACATATAGGCCGCGGTACGGGCACATGCGCACGACGCACACCACGACACACGACACACTTCACAATCTGCTTACTCAGCACCATATTGCTAGCAACCGGACCTCCCGCCATACGATTCCGTACCCATTCAAATCGCCAACTGAGCTGTAACTGACCGTGTCGTACAACATGAGTTCCGTTCCCAGTCCAATATAAAACGTGGTGAGAGACGAGCAGTCAGATTTGCGCAATAAACACAGGTCAGTAAACACAGGTAAGGTGCAGGGAAGGCAATGTCCTCAGGGTCACACGCGTTCATTTCGAAGTCCGAGCAAGGGTAGGGAAGGCAGGAGAGGAGGTGCCGTATGGAAAGCACGGAGAGGTCGCCCAGCGAAGCTGCCTGACACAGACAGGACAGACAGACAGACAGAAGGACAAACAGGCCAACCGAAGGACGGAAGGACAAACGACGTGTACATTATCCACCAGAGGCAAAGCGAGAATGAAACCGGTAGGCGCCGCAAGCGGCAACACCATTGGTGGCAATGGCCTAGCTGCCTGAGCAGCGAACCCTGACTGACGGACCGACACCCGCTGACTTAATCAATCGAACGAGGTAACAGTGGATGGCGCATCCAAACGGATCACCGGTTGGTACTGTACGCATAATAATAACCCATGCACTGTACTGCAGTACTGGCCGCATAAGGCCCTTACAGGAATACTATACCTAGTACTGCCTTAAAGCCCACGTACCACCCGCTGTTTTAATTAAGCAAACAGGTTGCTGCGATGCCATCGACGTCCAGGCCACCAACATTCAAGACGGGCAGCATCACCCCGCAGCTTCCTGTGGGACTGGGATAGTGCCTTCTTTTTTCGTTGTGCATCCTCGGTGTGCTTACCAGCGTGACGTGGCGTGTCTGGGTTTGTGTATGCACCATTACTACGGAGCCCGCCCAGCGGGGATTTTCCCCCGCGGCCAATCTGCGTACTGCATGGACGTGTGCTGTCCTTGCTGAATACTGGATTGCGTTTGGAAACTGCATGCATTGATATTGATGCGCATGCACCGTTCTCATTGCGCTCTTGCCTTATTGCGCTCCTGTCTCATTGCGCGAGCCCGGGCCCTTTGGTGAATATGCCAAGTCGTCTCCACAGAATTTGTCCAACCGTACGATCATGGGTCGCCCGAAACATCCCTTGCCGTCCATTTTTTTGCAGCACACGTCTGCGGGGGGCGAAAGAGGGCGCTCAGGAGCCAGACAAATGCCCCGGGGGCATGGCAAGCGGGAAGGGAAGTTGGACATCGTCGGCGCGGCAAGGGTTAGTTCGGTTTCAGCCTGCTTTTCGAGTGCTTGTGTAAGTCCCTTCCCAGGCAGGCATGCAGACTAGATGCCTTGCGTAGACCACGATCGACAACCATCCTTTGTTCACTTCGAAGCCCATGCAAGTCCAATTCTTAGGGGTCAAAATTTTGTACGCCTAACCAAATACTAATCCGACGGAGCGTGGTTTGCTGCGCCTTTTGCTGCGCCCCAAACGTCGATGAGTGCCGTTAGTTAGCTAAAGGACAGGTAAGCCATGCGAGATCCTAGGACAAATAGAATGTTACCATGGTAGGATAAATAATGCTTCTGCCCATTGGTCTAGCTCTACCAAGAAGGTCAACATCTGCCACGTAAAGCCAACAGCGGAAAAACCTGTTGGAGACATAACAATTCAAGAATCTCACCTCGGTCTGTTCCCTCTTTAAGAGTGACTGCTGCTAATCCACAAGCCTTCGTCCTGCTTCCTGCGCCCTTTTTTATGAGCTCGATATGTTCCTGCAAGGTGGGAATTATCGCAATAATACCATCAACGAGCTTCAACCTATATGCTTCATGGCTATCGTCTGATGCGCGGGCTAGGCTGGGTAACCGACGCAGGTCAGCCTCCGGAAGCAATTAATTAATCCGAGTCCGCTTACCACGCTGTAGCCTTCCTTCTCAAATGCAGCCTCTAATGCATCATGCGTAGCTTCGTAAGGGAGATTCGAAACGTACACCACTTTTTGCTTTTGCGCCATGTCCGAATTCCGAAGCAGACGGAGGTAAGCGCTGAGACAATCAGAGGCAAGGCGTGCCGTAAGCTCTAAGGAGAACGCTCCGGTAACAAAAGAAACGTTCCGATAATTGGTTGGACAGTTCCCAGCAACCATCGTACCTGTGCTGGTGTTGCTGGTTGCATACATACTCCAAGGCATAAATGTTAATCTCCCGAAGATTATCATTAGGTAACTGTTTCCACCACAGTTCCCGAAGCATGAACGCCCCCAGTGTCCCCCTTGCCATGCTGCCAATCTGGTCCTAACGGCCTCGCAACTGTCATGTCTTGACCCAACCGTAAGAAGGCGCCGGGTTCATGGCGCCTGGGCTTGTTACCGTCTTTCGGCCATACTACTACCGAATGCGTAATGTTACAAGTTTACTTGTCCACGGCGAGCGCCTTCACTTCCTTCAGGACATTGTGGTGCTCAACGCCGCAAGCCACCTGAACAAGCCAGATTTTGTTTATGTTCTTGAACATGGTTTGGACTAGTTAAGATGCAGCATTCCTGCGGCATCGAAAAAAGCACAGCACGGCATGGCTAAACCGAGCATTTTAAACATGCAAACTGTTTTGGCCAGTATTGGCGCTATTCATATTCTGCACATGAAACCATAATCAGGAAACGCGCGGTACGGCACACGCATGCATATTTCTGCACGGCAACTGGATCCAATGAGTGCTGTATCACAGGACTGCGGCCTCCTCCACATCACAGCCAAGTGAAGCGCTTCATCGAGCCAATGCCAGCTAACATGCGCTCCGGTTGCCAATAGAGAGCCCTCCCCTAACCGCAGTCCTAGCCCTGGTAGCCAGGGGAGACCTCCCTACTGGTAACTGGAGCGCCTTAGCTTTTGTTAGGTAACGACGCATTCCCATCCGGGGATGTGTCCCGATGACACATCCCCGAATGGGAATGCGTCGTTACCATTTGGGGATGTGTCATCAGGACACATCCCCGAATCCCGCAGAATTGCTCTAACGTCACGACATTTTAGCGTCACGTTCATTTTACCGTCTTTCCTACTCGTCTTAGGTTATATCGGTATGATTGTGCGTAATTTCGTGTTATCTTTTACTCACGTAAGGTGTTTGGTAACTACCTTACACTCGCTTCACTGATCGATTCAGGGGCCATGACCATGACAACCAAGCAAGTTATGATCATCTTACATCAGAGCACCAATACAGGTGGCAAACACCTAAACTAACCTAAACTTCACTTATGATGCATTCACCAGTTATATTCATGCTTTCCATTGTGCTTTCGGGGTTGCACATCTACAGTAACCTCATCCAGCCGTAGGTAGAGACCAGGTCGTCAGGACAACCACCGCATCCCTGCGCTCATGTAGGCTGGCAAACATTTTAACTAACCTCATCATAACTTTTGACACTATCAGCGGGCGTATCTGTGCTTAATTACCACACTTTCGGGGCTGCACTTTTACCAAGCTTGTGGCTGGCGAGTAACCTGTCCAGACAACTGCCCCGTAGCTACTGAGCATTGCAAGCTACACGCCTCCGGACTGCCATAGGGGTTGTTTAAGGATGTTATGTCAACTTTATTGCGCTCCGTTGCCAACGGACCATTGCCATGGATACTGTTAGGAAGGTCACGCCCGAAAGTCAACGAGGAATCGGACTGTTTCTGACCGGACCAAACGCTGCAAAATATTCGGACCCGAAGCTCCCAAAACGTGGAAGTCCATTAAAGAAGATATTAAACTTCACTGAAGCCATTAGCGACGTTAATGAAGACGGCCTAGAGGTCGTAGGCAATGAGGACGCAATGCTGCAGTCAGCCGACGACAATGACGCCACTCCAGTTGTGAACAGCGAGCGTGCCAAACGTCAACGTTCTTCATATGAAGACAATCGCGATGGGCCAGGAAACACGGGCATCGAGGTCGATGGCAGCAGCGACCCCGGCGCTGCAGCTAAGACTACTAACCCCACACTCCGCGGCGCAAAGACGCCCCGACCACAGACGCAGCGGGTTGTGAAGGGGCCGGTACATGATGGAAAGCTAACTAGCGTGCAGCACCAACAGCAGGGGCTGCAACCAACCGCAGAGGTTGCGTTTGGCAGTTCTGGTTCATTGCTGCTATGCATCATTACTTTTGCAACCTGGAAAGTCGTGTAGTGTTATCTTTCATATGATGCAAAACGAACGACGGTGAACGAACTCTGTTTGATCAGTGCTTGAGTAGGGGTTAACTGGTCTGTGTTTGCTTGGGCCCTGCAACAGCAGTCGCCCGTGCAACCGGGGTTCCTGTCAAAGCGTCCAAGTGCGCGCCGCTTCCTGGCGTGCAAGAGACACCTCTATGGAGAGATTGTGGTGTGCGCGTGTTGCGACATTCCCCAAACCCTGTGTTTGTACGAACTAAACTAAAACTCATCGGGGGGGTCTGGGGGGGTCGTAGCCCCCCCCAGCGCCTTACAGATTCGGAATACTTTTATTCCCGCGACTAAAACCTATTCCACCGTTCGGACTGGAAAATTGACGGGCAAAAATGAAAAAAAACACTGTCCGTTGGTGTGCTAGCTGGCTCAAGTCGCTCGACCCGAAGTGTAACAATTTGGCATCCCAACTAGAAACGGAGTCCATTCTATTTAATCATTACTGCTGGGAACGTGGCAAGAGCATTGGTTAGTCCAAAGCAAAGGACTTTGTTTTGATACTGGCCGAGCCCCGGTGCAGTAAAGGCCGTTTTCTCAAATATCTTCTTTTGGGATGCGAATTTGATTATACGAACTATGAACCAGTGCCTAACTCCCGCCTTTGGGCGCGGTGGGGAGACGAAGCTAAGGTGGAGCGCACTTCCGCTGCCCACTGACAAATATACTACCAAAGATGATTAAGAATTAAAATTGTGTTCTCTGGTTCGGTCCTTAACTTTGTAAGGTCCATAAGGAAGTACAATGGCGATTGGTCTCGACTCGCAAGCACCAAACGCTATCCCAGGCAACCGACCTGCCGGCGGCGTAAACGGGAACCTTACGAACTCCCCGAAAGAATGTCTAAAAAATTATACATATCTGGCGTTACTTTGACCTTGCATGAATAAAAACATCAGTATGGGAATGCGGCATGTATAATGAAAAGCGGGAACATCGAAAATGTTAGCATCCGTACACTGGCATCCTAAGCGTTTTCTAGGTCCCAAATATAATTTCCTCAACATAAATATCACCATTACGTCGCAGGCATGAATCTTCATGCCAGGCCGCATACCTCCAGTACAAATGACCGCGGACTCATAGTGCAGCTATAAGCAGGTAAATGCAACAATTTCTTTCTACACGCTTTACATAGCTTCATGTAAACTCTCATTTCTTTGATGTAGCCTTTGTTGCAAATGAAGCACAGCGATAACCCCCTCGCTAAGTTTTTCAAGAAAAAAGAGGTCACAGTGGCACCAACTAGGAAGAGAGCAGGCAAACAGATTAACCTGAATAAAACGGGCGTCCATGCATGTGCACATGCAACTGAAGGGGCCTTATGCCCTTTGGATTCCGCACGCCAAAGAACCTCACGACTGGTGGGCTCCTTCTTCGTCACCAGCAGCTGCTGCTATAAGTAGGGGAGTCGATGTTTTTTCTATCGTCTTTTGACAGGGCCCCCTGTTAGCGACGATGTACGTTGGACGAGTAGTTGCTACAAGCAGCATAATTACTAGGTACTGCACCACAGACGGAACAATTCGAGTGTGTGCATCTGTTTTTACGAGATAGTGCCAGCAGGGGAGGGAGCTGCCTTTGATACCTTTCCTTCTATCGGCACTATATCACATCACTTCACCACCGGCATATCATATAACCAGAATTAATAGTTAAGATAGCGACGATGCGACGACCGCGAGCGATGGCGTATCTCCTTTCGGGTTTAGTGTTGGCGCTCATTGCACAGTTCCATGAAGTGAGGTCGAGTCACTTCCGCGCCGGCAAAATCGAGTACCGCGTCAGCCAAACGGACCCCGATACTATGGACATCGCCGTGACGACATCTTGGATGTACGTATGCAGGACTCACTGAACAGAAGGGTGATGCCGTTACTATGTAGGTACTGCTGATTCATGATGAGATGCAAGAGCAACGGCCGCACACTACAGGCAGGGTGCCAGCTTCCTCAAAGTGGGAAAAAGTGTGCACCCACAGTTCGTGTGGGGTGCCCCACACGAGGGCCCAGTGAGGGGCCCCACATGGGGCCTCTCGCTATACATCTGTATAGGATGATATTATGGGTTTGCGCTGAGAGTGCCAAGGAAGAGGGGATGTCGAAGGGTGAATGTTCAAGCGCCACACCAGTTGCCCAATAATGTAATGTAATGTTACAGAGTGGGAGGCTTCTGGGCCGCTTTATCACATTGTCAATTCTACGATTTATCACCTAATAGCACCATCCACCACGACCACACTGTACTACGCCATACGAACTGAAAAGTCCAAGGCGGTGAATCCAGCCTTCAGGGATCCCTCCTCATCCATTCACCCGAACATCCGAAGAGACGGAGGATTCGACAATCGCCACCAATCTAGCGTGCGAATCTGGTCCATCATCTGTGACCTCTACTCCACATCTCAGCAGCTAGCCAAAAGCCCGCACTCCCGACTAATTCGGGGGTCTCCTCAGCAATCGAACCCAGAACCTTAAACCGCTAAGTGCAGTAGTGTCACTCCAGACCAGACCCTAAGTTGCCCAATAGTATGGGTTTGGTGATATAAGGAAGACCACCAAGTGGTGAACGCTTTGTAAAGAAAGCGTTCATGTTCATTATGCAACGCTTTGTTCGCCAATCAAATGGTAGCTTGTGCTAGAGGATGTTTAAGTACATTGTTCGGGAGTCTTATTGGACCGTAAGTTATGCTTTGTTGTAATGGACGGACTGTAGTCGACTGCAGCTGCCCAGGCTACTAGGGTGACGGAGGCGTGGCGCTTCAAACTGAAGCCCCACCGCAAGGATTTCTTAAAGTAATATATTACCTCCTTGGAATAAGTTGGCATTTTGGCCTTCGGAAAAAAGGAATAAATTGAGGCCGACCCGCACATTTTCATTCCTCTAGCCAAAAATGTCCATGTGCTGTTGTTTGCAGCGGCAGGTGACGGCCTGTGATTTGCTATGTGGTTGCTTGCTTTGGGCCTTTGCTTGGTCGATTTTATTTACTGCTCACAAACAATGCCAGAACTATCTACGCGTGTGCATGAAGAGTAGACACACGAACGAAAGAACGTGCCAACTC